TACGCTTGTAGCTCAATTTCCCGGTACTTGCGGATTAAAATACCGACATCCAGATTCTAAATCAGTTCGAGGTATTCGTCTAAGCGACGGGAAATTACATCCCCCAAGTGAAGTAGGCTGGGGTAAAAACTTATACGTTTGCGTTTTTCCGAAAGAAAATAAACGTAAAATGGAGGACGTCTCGACAGATAATTCGGCTGCCAAAACTAAACGTTTGGAAAAAAAGTTAACTTGTTCAGACTTAATTTGCTTGGGATTACCGTGGAAGTCAACAGAAGAATCTATTAAACAATATTTTGAACAATTTGGAGAAGTCGTAATGGTTCAACTAAAAAAAGATAAAAGTGGCTGTTTTAAAGGATTTGGTTTCATCCGTTTTGCTACTTATGCCTCACAAATGAGAGCACTTGCTCAAAGACATAACATAGACGGCCGTTGGGTAGATGTCCGAATTCCTAATTCCAAGGAAGGAGTAGTGCCCCAAATGCCATGTAAAGTATTTGTTGGTAGATGTACAGAAGATATAACAGCTGAAGATCTTCGTGACTATTTTTCAAAGTTTGGTGAAGTTACTGATGTTTTTGTGCCTCGTCCATTTCGTGCATTTGGTTTTGTCACGTTTTTGGACCCAGAGGTAGCTCAGAGTCTTTGTGGAGAGGATCATGTAATAAAAGGTGCCTCTGTTTCTGTGTCTAGTGCTGCTCCAAAAGTCAAAACAAAATCTAACAGCAACTGGAAGGAAGACTCATACAGTCATAACAATTGGGAAGTAAATCGGTCACAATCTGGATCTTCAGGACCTCCAAGCAACAATGGTGGGAATAGTAACATTGATACATTAAATATGCAAAATTTAGGCATAAATCCAAATGGTGGGCCACCACCAAACTTCAATTTACCAATAAGTTTAGTTGCTGCAGCATTAAACCAAGCAGGGTGGAGTGGATTTTTAGGAGGTCCTGGAAATACTGGACCTAACTGGCAAGGGCCCTCTCATGGCAATTCAGGCAAAAATTGGAATAGTAACCAAAATTGGGGATCAAATGGCCCTCCTCCTTCATGGAATCAAGGGAACCAAGGAGGAAGTCAACAAGGTTGGAACGGAGGTGGAGGAGGTGGAAAAAATGGCAATTGGAATCAAAGTACTGGCTGGTCAGGCCCAGGAAACTGGAATAATAATGGTAATGGGAGTTCTGGGTCAGGGAATGGATGGAACAACAATAAGCCACAAACATGAGGTGAGCTTGAGTACAATTGTAGACAGAGATGTATGTGTTGGTTTGTATTAAATTTAGGTTCTAAAGTACTAAAAATGTCATCAATAGAATGGATTAAAAAAATCTTAAAATATTAATAACAAAAAATACATTATGTATTAGCTATAAGTTGACTTGATTAAGGTGTGTAGTCTGTGATGAGTATGTGTTGAAAGCATTTAGTAAATAAAGCAAGTGTGAAAATAAGAGATGGATGTTTTACTCATGCTTATATTGAAGAACATGTCGAATGTTTTATGTATAAGTGTATGACAGAAGATTTATTGCTATTGTGTCCGAATATTGGTGACGAAAGTGACATCTGTAAATTATGCACTTTATTTGATAGTATGGGCTGTCTGAAAAGTAAGTGTTTTGTGGTTTAATTTATTATGGATATGAGGTGAACATACAATGTTTGTTTTAATAAGCTAGTCCAAGTATGCAGAATTACAGGAGCATTGAATAATGACAAGGCTGGTTAAACTGAATGGCTATTATGGTGTACTTTTAGTAAATCTAGCACTGAACATAATCATGAAAGCGACTGTGGTAAGTGAAGTAATAATGTGTAAAGTTTAAATGAGTACAATTTTCATAATTTTGTTTTTCTGTACAGTTAAGAGAGCAACAAGGGAAGTTTTGCTTGAAGTAAAGTTTGGTGAAGTATTGTCCTAATATTTTTATTTATATTAGGTAATATTGATAATAAAATAAACATCTGCCATATGTTCACTTTACAATCAAGAAGAAGCATGTATGTACTTTGCACAGGAACTGATTGACAAAAGTGATCTTGAATTCTAAATTTAGATTTCAATAATCATTCTTATATAATATAACTTACCTCGTAAACTTCAACCTCAGATTTAAGAATATTTTCCATAAATTCTAGTAATTAATTGAAATTTATGTATTCTAATTTGTCCATTTTCTAGTTTAAAACTGGTTTAGAAGAAAAAGTGAGCATCAAATCAAATCAGATGACTTCATAATGTATCTTCTTACTTCTTTTGTCAAAGATTTATAGTGTCATATTCATCATTGCTATGTTAATTTCACTTGTATGTACTACTTGACATAGAAGTTTGGGTGCAAGATAGTATTATTTGTATGTATGTATATTAATGAAATAGCAGAAATTGTCAGATGTAATTTCTAGGGGTTTGCTCTCTTTGTGACTTTCCCATTTTGTTACCTGTTGCATGTAACAAAAATAAAGATTTTTCTATTTTCCCCTGTTTACATGCAAAAGATAATTACATGATCAGTCGCAGATGACCTTTAATGCCTTGGTGGTTGCCATCACTGACATTGGCCATGTCATAAATACATCTTGTTGCTGTGGAGTTTAGAAAAATAATGCTAGTGATGGTGAAAGTGAGGTGCAATGAGTACAATGAAGTCTGTGTCGTTCTGTTTGTATTGGTCTTAAAAAAATATGTGACCTTCTTAAATAATTCCTCATGTCAACATTGACTTTGGTGCTCACTTTGAGAAGGTGGCACGACATGAGAACTCTCATGTCGTAGCCGCTGGAAATTATATACCCGATCCTGTAGACCGAATGGTAAACAGTCGACGTCGCCCAAAACACGTCATTACAGATCCTCCTGATCCATTAACGGTGCTTTTAGGTACCACAAGCACCAATCGCCGTCCTCGTCGAACCCGTCGCTTGCGACGAAGGGCTCGACGAGCGAATTAGCCCACAGATACAGCCCACGAAGTTTCTCGCCGGCTCTTCTCAGTGGGTCGCGTTTCCGATCCAGTGGTAGATTCTGCAAAGCACTGCTCTTGCTAGGGCTAGTGTTGGCACCACTCCGGTTTAAGTCCCGTGAACTCACCTACATGTTAGGGCGAAGCTGAAATAGCTTCTGAAGGCTATCTGCATAGGCAGGGAAAAAAAATTGGTGCAACTATATTTTATTTACACTGAAGATATATAGACAAAGATATATCAGTATATCTATCAGTTCTATCAGAAGATAGACCAATCAATAGAAAATAGATCAGTAAATTTTGCAAGTTTTACCTTTTCTAAAGTAGTGTAAAGTATTTATTTCTAAAGTAAAAATGCTTATAAACTGGTATAAACCACTTCAAGATTCTGTATTCAAGCCTAAAGGCTTAATGTGGAATATAATTTAATAAGACATTTCGTTTATTGTAAATGTGTTTGTCAGTTCAGAACTTTTTTCATTTATAATCTTTCCAGATTTACTATTAACCTCAACATTTATATTCCTACACAACATTCATTTTTATTTTTATTACATGCTGTTTTGTGAACCTGTACCAAACAATTACACCTTTATCATGGTTAAAGAGCAAATATGCTTACAGCCAGGCGTTAAGCGATTGCCACAGCTAATAAGTGGATTTCTCTCTCAAACCCTACAACGGTAAACATGGTTAAAACGTACTGGTGATTGATCTATGTGATGTAAGGTAAGATATATTTTCGTAACTCTGGTCAAATATATCTTGGAACCACAATCCTGTCTATTTCTATCGCCAAGCACTCGTACTTCTATACTCCAGCTTGCAATTGAATTGAAATATAAAATAACTAAAACTGACGAAATGTGGGTTAGGATTCATCTTTAAGTTCTTCATTATCTGCAAATTATTTGACCAGACCTGAATTTTTGTACACAGACTTCTATACCTACCATGCATGAGGTGGGGACTCACTAAGCTCAAAGTGGTAGACGCGCCGAGCGCTCAAGTAAGACAGGTATCGATTTTTGACGAATTTTAAACCCATTTGACCGCCTCTGCCGTCTTGAAATTGTAATATGTATATGTAATTGTAATGAAACAGTAATATAAATATCATTTTTTTACAGGTGACTTCAAAATGATGTATTGGAAATTATACTATACTATCAAAACTGATAAAACTAATCACTGGGATATCTTACCATTGAAAGAGGTTTGCTATCGATGTTCCAAATATACGAGCCCTCATGAGATTAAAGCTAATTGAATTTTCAGGAATTCTGAGATTTCAATAAAATGACAATTAAATTATTTGTTTTATTTTTAAATGTGGAAGCTTTCTGTTATGGTAATTGAAACGAACAGCACCACATCATTAAATACATACGTACAACTATACACTTCAAAATCTTATAATCACAATACAATCACAAATCATGAGATCCATGGCAAGTCGAAGAAACTCACCACATGACAAACCAAGATATTTGGTTTGCGGCCAGAAATTTACACCCACCAAAAAAAATTATTAGTTGCTTCCATGAATTTCGTACATACTCAATGTAACATTTTTTAAAAGTTCCATAACTAAACTTTTACCAAACGTAGGTAGTCCAAAAATTAGACGCCCAGCCAACGAAAATAAATAATCAATATTCGAAGTACTAAAGACAGGCGTAGTTTATATTTTCTGTCTGCTTCGTGCGAGTTTCTTAACGTTCTCGATAGCGTAAAAGTTAACCCAATTTTTTATGCAGTTGGAACAGCGCCTCTAGCTGATAACATACGCAACAATCCCATTCCATACAAACATGAGCTAACTTTTACGCTATCGAGAACGTTAAAAAACTCGTACTAAACACACTGACGACATCATATTCAATATTACACACGACGTAAGTCTGAACCAAGATTATCTGGTTTGGGATCATTAAATTGCCTTTTCAATTGTATTTTGAGAAAGTTTGACAAGCTATCAAAACATCCAGTATACATAATAATGTGGTACATAAAAGTGGTCCTGTTACGTGAACCACTATGAACCGTTTTAATTATGTTACCCACATAAGATGTAATAACAGATAATAAAATCATTAGGTCAATTCAGTTATTAGACAGATAAATTATAGCTTACTTAAAGAATATAATTTTATTATTATTATTGTATACAAGTTTGTAAAATGTGCGGGATTGAAGAGTTCAGGCGTAATATGATTTTTTTCGTTGGCCAGTACCTTAAAATTTTTGTTCTAAAAAATTTACAAATCGTTGCATGTCCTTTAGGTGAGCACATACACATAGGTACTTAAATGTAATACACAAAGTTATGAATTCCCTTTTTAATGAGGTCTCTAAGAAAAAGAATAACATCCTAACAACAAAATTTCAGTCACAATTACAAATTTAATTTTTTTACTTGTATATCGTGTACACACATTTATTGAAATCAAGTAAGTGTACTTTGAAATTAACAAAAGTATACACCAAATTTGAATCCTTCGTATCAGCCATCACTAGCTTTAACAATAAATTCCGAATTATTCAGCCTTCAATAACTGGAATATTTAATTCCAAGCAAAGTGAGCGCAGTTTTTGACGAGAATTAATCCTTGGAATAAACCCCACTTATTCTTTGAAGTATCGATATAACAGGAAAAAATATATTGAGAATTGCAAGTAACAAATATTGGTAATGTTTTTTTAAATTTATTTTATAAGTAGGTTGGAACGGTACGGTTTCCAAAATATAAACGGTACTAATATACTACCTCAGCATAAACAGTGAAACAATGTTCATCTGCGAAACTAAACATTCTTATAGTACTGCTAAATTTTCATGTACCAACAATCTAATGCGGAGAAGCAGACTAATCTCTAAACCGCCCGGTCACAAAGTTGGCACATCTGACCTCTGCTGATTTTTAACAGGATTACAGTGTGTTTAAAATGAAACCAGTAATAACATGTCAGAAGCGACCCCTACAAATAATTTTGATTTTTAAAACGGTTCCTTTTACCCGCCTCTTTGTCATTATAAGGTATCATTTCATTAACAAGTTTAAATTTAAATTTAACTGTTCAGTGTTCACTTGTGTGATATTCTTTGAGTTTTGACCTATATAAGCATGTCAAAGTTACGTATAAATGAACTGCATTTGTATTTATCATTATGATGCCACTAGTGTCTAGTTAAAAAATAATAGACCTAATAGAATAGAAATAATAATATATAGATAATACTCAAGAATTTCGGCTGTTTTCTATATCATATTCAAATGGATCTAAATATATAATCGGCTAAGCCTAGGTTAAGCTGTGAGTGAGCTTTCAGCCATTTACACTATGTTAATAAGATAGTGACGAGTAGTACATTCTTATTAACCAAAGTAGTACACAAAGTCGCTACATTACTACTACTTGTAAATACCCAAATATAAAAATATAGATGATTATTTTGATAACAGGGTTTTAGTTTTTATGCACTGGGAATGGCTGATCCAAGCTGTATACTGTGCACGGTTGGTTGGCTTGAGAAGGTTCGTTTTACGAAATGTTTATTATTCTTAAATTATATAATTTCAACGTTCATATAAAAAAATCGTTATAACTGAGTAAATTTACTTAAAATTAACGAGGTGGGCTGATTACATACAAAAGTATAAAAGATAAACAGAACACTGAAATTTTCTATACACATAAAGAAATGTATGTTTATTTACACTTTTAATTTTTTTGCTGGCCTCAGCGCATAGTTAATCGAAACTTGTCGCTTGATGGCAGCTCGCCGCGGCTGTCTCCTTCCGTTCCATTCTGCTTCTATCTTACAGGCAAGTTCAAAATCACTCTTCTCTTGTTCAATTATTTCCTCGATCCTCAATTGTTCTTGCAAAATATGCTTAACATCACAGTTTTGTAGAGGACTAGACAAATTTTTAACAACTAAATTGATTTTATTATTATTGATAGGCTTTGAGTCACAAGGAGAAGTGCTGGACAAGTTACTACAATTAATCTTTTTCGAATCACTTCTCAAATGTGGTTTTCGTTCTGAGCACACCTTCCTCTGGTTAATTTTTGCTTTCTTGGGCGTTGACACGGTTTCTTCGTCATTTATACTTCCCATTGATCTAGTTCGTCGCAGATTTGTCTCGTTATTAAATTTAGAAATACCGTCAATATGTATATTATTTTTATTACGACTAGGATATCTTCTTAGTACCGGTTCAGTTGTATTTCGGCATGTTGTCCTCTTCTCTTTCAATCTTGTTGTTGTTTCTTGTCTTGCAGTTTCACGTTTCACAATATTGCCCTAAACAAATTTCAAAATAAATAGATTGTCATGGTACTGGATATATTCTATTATTAATATGTTTTTTGTAACAAGGGTGGGTTGTTGTTACTTCATACATCACGACTAAACTAACGTGTAAGATTTATAGTCAAAAAGCATCGTCAAGCTCATAATTAGATCACTGCAAGTCTCACAAAATCTTAATTGGGTACTCAGTAATTAATAACCAGATATGAGAAATATTTTGAATACTTATAAATTTTATGTCAGAATATAATGAACTGTTTCTTTATATTTCCATTTTTAAGTAAAGAGGATTTTATTTTTATTTTTTTATATAAACAAACATTTCTATTATTTACTTCAATTGGACTAGTTTAGGGTTTTAATAAAATTAAACTTAAGATGATGTTCTTAAGGTTGTAAACTATTCTAGCTTAAGCCCAGATTAGGCATTTTCATGAACTATAATTTTTTTTTTACCTTTTTTACAGCTAATAAGTTTAGGGTAATAACAAAAGCAGATGGTAAATTTTTTGATAGTGAAACGTTTCGGAGTCGGCACAGTCCTTCCAAGTATTGTGCACGAGTAGGGGCATTTTCCTTCAATGGCGCGATTTCTTTGTCGATTCGTCGGCACGGTATCCGCAGTGGAAATCCTTTTCTTCCACTGAAATTTAATATATATGTAAAGAAAAGCCTTTATTATTTAAAACTCTTTAGTTTTTAAACAGGATTTTTCTTCAGTGTCCATTCAGTGTCATGGAGTAAAAAGAGTGCTCAGTTTTGTAGTTTATCAATACTGTCTACTGTTTAATTTTTAATATTAATTTTAAAGATTAAGGGCTTTAAATATTGTTTTCTTGTTATATCGTATTATATCTTATTATATCGAGTATTAAGCGATAGGCAGTGGCTTGTTTCTGCCCCTGGCACTGCTGAAGTCCATGGGCGACGGTAACCACTCACCATCAGGTGGGCCGTATGTTCGTTTGCCTACATGGGCAATAAAAAAAATATCACAGAAAACAGAATTTAGTCTTTTATTGTTTATTCATTCTGAAGTACTCCATATCTATACTATATAATATTATAAAGAGGAAAGATTTGTTTGTTTGTTTGTTTGTTTGTATTGAATAGGCTCCGAAACTACTGAACCGATTTGAAAAATTCTTTCACTGTTTGGAAGCTACACTATTCCCGAGTGACATAGGCTATATTTTATTTGAAAAAAATTTGGGATCCTTACTAAAACTCCAATAACGTAACCCAAGGTGTAAAAAAATTACCTAAAATATTCTTTACATTGCGTTCCCTGCGAAAACTATTCATGATAGAATAATGTACTACGACTTTGTAGAACACATTATTATTTACAAAAAGTGTCGCGACAGCATATGTGTAACTATTATAGTTATGCCGCAATAAATGTTCTTTTGTAAAAAGAATAAAACAAAAACAAATATCGTTGAAATTTTTTGTTAAAGATCCTAGCGGAGCCGGAGCGAGCCGCTAGTCATTATATATATAAAAGTCGATACATATATTTATTTATATGTCCCTATAGACTCCGAAATAATTTGATCAACTTTGTTGAAATTTACAGGAAAACTTCAGGTTGGCCAGTGGACGATCTTGCAAGGTTTGGTAGCAATAGGATCAAATCAAACATAGGCTAGAAAAAAGGGGTTGGGGTTTGATATTGAGATAAAACATTTATTGCTAAAGAACTGAATACTAATGACCTGCCTGATTTTGAATGCAAGATATGATTATTTGAGTAAATAAAATAACAATTTCGATCCCATGTCTCAAGGTAGATGGCGGTTTGCATAAGTGGCATTGCATTGTAATATTTATGATCTATGGTAAACACCGAACAGTAGGTAAGCTTTTTAGTTCATTCACCCACATGAGCAATTGTAATAATCAGCTCTTAATTTTTGGCTTTTGTCTCAAATTATTTAAGAGTTTTTAATGTTGCCATCATTTACTGCAGAACCATAGATATTCTTAAGGGTTTTTGGGTTTATTACTATTAACAGGTAAATAATAAATTTTATATAGCTTAATATAATTGATTTGGATTTGTTACAGCTACAAAATAGATTTTTTGAGACAGTTTAACCTTAATCAAATTTGAAATATTTGTTATTTTTACCTAGTTGGTTTAGTTCCTTCAATCGGTTTGAAATAACATAATTCTTGTTGCATTGAATCCACACTTCCAGTCTCTTTACTCCTGTGATTTTCAGAAGCATTGACCTTTTGACGAATTCCAGTGCAAGGCAGAGGTAAAGATACAAGCAAAGAATTTTTAAACTTTGGTTTTACTGTATCACCTAATGCTTTCTCACTGACTTTATCCTTATGTTTCTCTCCATTTTCTTTGTTCCACACTTTCTTGTCTATGAAATCTTTGATTAATTTACCATAAGAAGAAATTAATTCCGGTGACCTGGATGTTACTTTTTTTTCACTGGTCGTTGCTGGTGTTAAATTATTGCATGAACTACTGGCTGTTGTTGCAGGTCTAAAATGGAAATAGAAATTCAGAAAACTTTAATCAATTTTGAAACATATCACTGAATATAATATAAAAAAAAAAAAAATCCAAGCTAAGCTTCAAATGTACTGTTTTGGCAAAATTAATTTTCACTAAGGACAATAAATTTAATTTTCATTTACAGTAAATGTTACTTGCAATATGTCTTTAAAATTGGTTCAAATCACATAAGACTTGAGGATATTTACTCTTTAATGATGGTAGTTTTCATTTTAGATAGGTAGCCATCAATTTTTGCTGTTTTCAGTTTGAATTTCATTGCCTCTCTTTGATTTTGCCTTGTGTGTGCATTTGTAGATGAAGCTGCGTTATCCATGTGCTCTTTCTGGATTTTCAAGGCCAAAACTTCATCTTGTTTTAGATTTTCAATATATTTCTTATGTGCTTCTTCTTCTTCTTGTTGAATTTTTCTGAAAGGTTAATTTATTTTTGATAAATTTTTGTTAAGTATATATTAAGCATATAAGCTTTTAATTTTTTTTTAAATGCATATAATATAAAACATAATTACTCTGTTTTTTGTTCATATTCTAGGTGTTTGCATTTAGTTAATCCAATTTAGTAGGTACTTTGTTGTTGGTAGCAACTAGACTTCTAACATAATACAATTTTATACTAGTACTTTGAGTAATTTTAACAATCATATTTCGCAATAGTCACAATGAAACATTGCCATATTTAGCTAGTGTTAAATAAATAAAAAACATACTTAATCAGTAACTCAGTTTCCTCAATGTGTTTTTCTTCAAGCCGTTCTCTCTCTGCTTTAAGGCGCTGAATTTCCTCTTCATATTCCAATCTGATTTCACCAGGCAAACTTAGCCTGGTTACAGGTTTTTCTATGAAAAAATAACATGATATGGTAGAAATGAAATAAATGGTCTGTGTTTCAAACCATAAATTATTCACCAGTACATAATAATAATAAAAAATACAGAAATATAAATATTACTGTGCATTTGTTCAATTCCTGAAAGAGTAATTTGAGTTCAATTTTATCTTTCTGGAAAAGTAAACAGTATTTCAAGACGTACTCACCTTCTGGAAGAACGATGTCATCGCCTCTTGATTTAGTATCTATTTCTTGAGGAAATTTATTTTGAATGAAACTCCACAACTCAAGATTTACTAAAGTTTTTCGCTTTGTGGCCGTCCTGAGCCAGGATCCAATTCGTAATCGACAGAGAGGACAGCACAAGGCATTATTTTCAACACTTCCATTGAAACAACGATGACAAAAATCATGAAAACAAGGTAATGTCACTGGTTCTACTAATATTGATTGACAAATGGAGCAAATCAGATCTTTTAATTCTAATTTATCTAATTTTAACAATTTATTATCAATTTTAGACAGCCGCTTCTTTGACTTGGCCGCCATTTTTTATACGACAAATGTTTTGAAGTTTTTGACATTAGAAATCCATTTTGTGTTCAGAATACGTTCAGAATATAAGCATTGATTCGATTATCTGTCTCTGTTTTAATATAGCTTTTAAATAGAGACAAGGGAGAATAGAAGTTCATAGTCTTTATATAAAATTCCGCTGAAAACGTTTGTTATACAAACTGTATAACATGGGAGTGCCAGACAGATTCGTGCTCATCATACGAGACTACTTGTCGAACCGTTCGTTCCGATATCAAGTCGAGGGAACGCGCTCCCGCCCCCGTCACGTCTACTCGTGTAGGAAGAAGGCGTTGCTTCATCGGCGACTTCAGACCGCAGCTACCACCATGGGACAGTGGTTCCGGAAGTGGCGCATCGACAATAACCCCACGAAAAGCACAGCGGTGCTCTTCAAAAGGGGTCGCCCTCCGAACACCACGTTGAGCATCCCTCTCCCGTCTAGGCGCGTCGACACCTCCACCTCCGCCATTCGCCCAATCACGATGTGTGACCAGCCCATACCGTGGGCCCCGAAGGTCAAATATTTAGGCGTCACCCTCGACAGAAGGATGACATTCCGCCCCCATATAAAGGCGGTACGCGACCGTGCCGCCTTCATACTAGGACGACTCTACCCGATGATATGCAGGCGAAGTAAAATATCCCTTAGAAATAAGGTGACACTCTACAAAACTTGCTTACGCCCCGTCATGACCTATGCAAGTGTAGTGTTCGCTCACGCGGCCCGCACTCACATAAAATCATTCCAAATTATTCAATCCCGTTTTTGCAGGATAGCCGTCGGAGCCCCGTGGTTCGTCAGGAACGGCGACCTCCATGAAGACCTGGACTTAGAGTCCATCAGTAAGTACCTACAGTCGGCGTCGATGCGCCACTTCGATAAAGTGGCACGACACGAGAACCCTCTCATCGTGGCCGCCGGTAACTACATTCCCGATCCTGCGGAAAGAATGGAAAGCAGTCGACGTCGCCCAAAACACGTCATTTCGGATCCTCCCGATCCACTAACGGTGCTCTTAGGTACTTCAAGCACCGGTCACCGTTCTCGTGGAACCCGTCGCTTGCGACGAAGGGCTCGACGAGTAAATTAACCCTCAGACACAGCCCACTGAGTTTCTCGCCGGATCTTCTCAGTGGGTCACGTTTCCGATCCGGTGGTAGATTCTGCGAAGCACGGCTCTTGCTAGGGTTCGTGTTAGCAACGTCGTCAGGTGTCAGGTTTGAGCCCCGTGAGCTCACCTACTAGTTAAGGTTACGCTGGAATAGCCTCTCAAGGCTATTTAATATAGTATAGGTATAGCTATATAGTATAGTATAGGTAGGAAACAAAAAAAAACCCGCTGAAAAACGTCATTTTAATCACTTGAACCATAGATAAATACACTTAGGTAACTGACTTGAACCACTGGGTTGAAATGCTTATTTTCACCGGAAATTCGATAAGGTGCTTCGAAAGGCTTATTCTTTATCATTGAATTTTTTGGACCAAGCTTCTTTAGATGCGGTTTTAGAGTAAGTCAGAGAATTTTTTTGAGGAACTATCATTTGTCTCCTTACTCAGTTTCTGTTTTTTTGAATATTCGGGGACTTTAATGATTTCTTGGGTTAAACAACGGAAAACACAGTGCGGGTAGGTTTCCCATTAGGTGGGCTGACGATCTGCTAAAGATCGTGAGAATCTGTTGGATGCAGACTACGTAGGAACGATGATTGCGGTGAACCTTGGGAAAAGCCTAAAACCAGCAGTCTGTGAACTGATAATGATGATATGTTATAAATACATATGTATGTGTATTTTTCTGGAATCTTTATAATTCTACGTATTGGTATTTCGACCATGGGGTACTTTCTGACTTTTTCCACTATCTTATCGGTGTAAATGATTTTACATTTGGAGGTAAAGCGTGCAGCTGTAACATTGTTTGTATAATTTAGTTAAGATTTTACAGATGAGACTGGTACTTTTTGTGTTGTCCAGTTGGTCCCACAAACAAGTTTGTTGGATAATTTCGTTAGTTTCAGTAATGGTTACAGTTAACACACTTTCCAGAGTTCGGAAGGAATCGGTGGCGAGTTTTTCACAAAATTTTCGGTGATTTTTCACAAATATTATATTTTATACATGACGTGTTAGATCTTGATTGTTGATTTTTTTGTTTACTAGCATAATCCGCGGCACGCACACGATTCTCTGGACCCAAACTAAGATATTTATACCATGGGACCCACAAATTGATATACTCTAAATAAAAAATATCAGGACGGAAAATCGTGTGATTTTGTGGCCAGTTGACGTGATAATTTCGTGATATGAATTGACCTAGAAATCGTTGCGGTAATAAATCGATTGTTTCATCCGTGGCATATAATTAAAATGTATCATCTATGGGCGTGGTATATGGCGCCGTCCTACTAAAACTAAATGTCATCGAAATCTATGGCGTCTATTTAACAACAAAAACTTATTATTTTCATGTAACGAATTCCGCGAAGTATGCGAGCGATCTCATTGTAACTTTTCCAATTTTTTTTTAAAGATTTTTCGTTATTTTTTTCGACTTAAACTGATAGCCTAGGGGCTTATGCCAGCGTAACCGGGCGAGTAGGTGAGCTCACGGAGCTCTGACCTGAGGACGTTGCCAAAACTAGCACCCAGCAAGAGCAGTGCTTCGCAGAATCTACAACCGGATCGGAAACGCGACCCACTGAGAAGATCAAGCGAGAAACTCAGTGGGCTGTGTCTGTGGGTTAATTTACTCTTCGTCGTTGTGGTACCTAAAAGTACCGATAGTGGATCGGGAGGATCCGGAATGACGTGTTTTGGGCGACGTGGACTGTTTATCATTTGTAGTTATACTAAAAACATGTAGCAGGTTTGGTTAACAATGGTTTTCAGGATCGGGTAGTTTAACTACATGTTACCAGCGGCCACGACAAGAGAGTTTTCGTGTCACGCCGCTTTCTCAAAATGGCGCACTGATGCCGACTGTAAATAATTACTGATGGAGTCCAACTCCACATTATCGTGAAGATCCACGTTCTTCACGAACCACGGTGCTCAGAGGGCTATTTTGCAAAAATGGGTTTGAATGACTTGCAGGGGTTTTAAATTAGTGCGGGCTGCGGGAACGAACACACACTTGCATAGGTCGTGACTGGATGTATGCAAGTTTTGTAGACAGTCACCTTATTACGAAGGGACAATTTAATTCCCTTGCAAATCATCCGAGAAAATGTTTTTAATAAGGTGCTTCATACATGCTTCAAATGTTATATAATCGAAACATTCTCAGCTATCAAATCTATGCTATGCAATGCTAATCATTGCTACTTGCACGAAATAAAAATTCCTAAGATTAAAAAATGCACTCTTGATGAGACATCTATAAAATCAATATAATAAAACAAAATTGAAGAATTAAAAACTTACTTAAATAGTACATAACTTACTTGTATGTACTACTTTTTAAACTCACTTTTTAAAGTGTACTTTAAAGAGAATAATGCCTTTTTAAATAAAAACAAGTAGGTAATGCTTTTAGTTGCCTTTTAGGACTACAACGCAACTATTTTCTTTGTTACATCAATATTTAACTTATCTAGTTCATGGATAATTTCTGTATGAAGATTTTGTTTGAATTAGAACCTCCTTTAGAGATTTTTTAACCGTTTTGCTTGATATACTTAAAAGAAGTAGCTATACTATGTGTTAAATGGTTATTTAACTTAATACAATAGTTTCATTTCTCATCTTCTTTTTTTTACGATGTAACCGGTCCCCCAAGATTTTAGTCGATTATTTTTTTTGTAGTTAGCGAACTCTTACCAACATTAAGGAAAAATTTGGTAGCCATGTTGATATTTTCCTTCTTTTTTCGTCATGTACCGACTCACATGTATTTGAGTACGAGAAGCGATTACAAGAGAAACCACGAGAAATATGGTGGTTGATGGAAAATTGTAGATGGTGTTCTTTTGTTCGTGCATAACTGTGGTGAATTTTAACAAATGTTAAAGTGTGCTTTGAAATCTAGTTTCCACGGGATAGAATCGTGAAAATGTCTGCAATGCATTTTGTAGTTCATCCTTTGCCTGGGACGGAGGATCAGTTGATAGACAGGTAAACATATTTTATCGTTTTGCTAGACTCCATTTCGTTCACGTTGTGAAATCCGACATTCCATGACTTCAATTCACAAAGAACATTTTAATGTCTCACGATAATGAGCACGGTGTACTCACCTTAAATTTTTCAATTTCACTATAAAATATAATATAGATGTACATACTAGGTATATATGTATTATATACTTTTGTGTGTCGGTGACATTATGTGTTGCAGTTTTTTCATGGGCATGGCAAATATAATTTTCAGATGTACGATTGCAATAAAATCCGTTTTCTCGTGTCCAGTTTTACAGTATCATAATTATTAGTTCATGATCCCAATTATAAGTTTCTATAGATATTTCAGTTATGAAGACACAATCAATAAATTGATGCTACCTATTTATACAAAAGTAGGTAGGTCATGCTCATGATGAGATTTTTAAACTACAAGAGATAAATGTTTAGATATAAAATGCACTGAATTCGATTTACAGGACTATTATTCTTTAAACCATAAAGTATATCTCAAATATAACTAAGAAGTTTCGAAATATACATGTAGTTTACTTGATACTTACACACTCAATTACATTTCTTTTTGCTTTCTTTACCCTCTTAAATAGATTCTATATGAAAAAAGTCAGTTCTGAGAAAATGCATCTTTTGTGTTAAGTTATTATTAGATATTGTTGTAGTCATCCATTTAATAAATAATTGCACCCAACTGGGATCAATCTATTATCACATACAGGTCTATTGTCACCAATAAGCTCAATACTGTGATAATAGACAGGGTCTTCTGTGTTGAGCAGTGTTGGTTAATGTCACCATTCCTCATGACGAGAACATCATGAAAGCAGAAAAGGATAGCTTAATAAAATATAGTTACATTTTATAGAATTTAGACCTGACCCGCGCAACTAACTTTATGGCATGTTGATTCAACAATCTTGGTTTATCTGTTCAACAATCTGATAGTTGTTTAATTTTAATTCAAATTTATAGGGTCAAGTGTGTACACCTAGAATGGCACCATCACATTCTTCTCATGGTGTTTGTGTTACTAATGAATTCATTAGATAATGGGCAGCACACTAAAATAGTCAACTAGATTTTACGGGTGGTAGGATGTATTGTGACCTGCACTGTTTAGTTAACAACATCCTGCTTATTTCTGCCGTAAAGCAATCATATCTTGCAGTGTGAGGGGTGGGACAGACTATACAGTAAATGGAGACTATGACCTCATGTTTCAAAGTGGATAAAAATGTGAATTATATGGGTTGTAGTAAAATTATGTGGTTGTGAAGTTTGTAGCTTGTTAATCCAAAAAAAAAAAATCAGTCCAACAACTGATTACAACAAGAATACAAAGAAAACCTATTGCTAACTATAAATTAAATAAGGGATGTCTATATAATGTTTCACTAGTTTGTTAAATTTAGTACTAAAATTATTACACAAAGAACATAATTCTAGAATAGTACACCTATAATTACCATAGAAACTTCATTTTTACAAATACTTGATTAAATATTCAGAAAAAGTGCTTAGAGAGTACACATAATCAAATAGCTATATTGTCAGATTTCAAAATATTTTTGCCTATTTGATTCACTGGTTCTCTACTTAGTGAGTACTATATCTTGGAGTCTGGGTTCTATTCCTGGTGAGTTCCAGTATTAAAGATATTTTATACCATTAGGGATCAAGGTAATGTAAGGTAATATTCTAGTCTATTATATATGTTTCCCTCAATAATAACAAAGAAAAAAATCATAACTTGATATAGTTCAATGTGCAATCTCATATAATTTAAATCTATTTTTTGGTTGCAGAGAGAACATTATTGATTTCATATTAAATTCAAATTTATTTAAATTTGACAAAATGGTAACCACAATTTGTAAATGTGTTACAGAAATAGGCAGGGTGGTGGTACCTACCCGTCCTCACAAGAAGTCCTACCACCAGTATTCATATAATAACTTATATTCATAATAACTTATTTCGTATAATAACTGAAAAGTATTTATAAGTAGTCTCACTAGTGGTAGGACGTATTGTCAGTCCACACAGGTATGTACCACCACCCTAACTATACTGAGGCCTTAGAACTCGTATAACAATCCGGGTAGCGGCATTCGTTGTACATGTCAATGGGCTCCGGTTACCACTTAACACCAGGAGGGCTTTGAGATTGTCCAACCATCTAAAAAAAAGTACTGTAGGATGAAAAATTAAATCAAAATTACCTTGTCTCTGCTTTTCACTACTCTTTTACTAATTTATAAATGTATTTACTGATTGACTTTTATTTAAATGATGAAATGGACAATAAATGTTACTCAATATATGAAATGTTTTCATATTTTTATCTATCTAAGTATTTTTATCAAAATGCATTTCAGAAGATTTAAAAAAATATACAAAATTTGTATTTTTGTCTTACAGAATTAGAGAAGTAGCAGAACGTTGGAACCGATATGGAACAGGTGCAGGTTCTTCAGCTCTCAGTTCACTGAGAGGTGTACGGGCTGTTGCTGCTGGGCCTGCCCATATTGCATGTTTGTTGGAAGATGGAACCATATGTAGAGCTGCTTTCTCAATCATCCCTGATAGATTGGACCTGAGTAAATCAGATGCTAGCAAGAATGGAGGAAATGGCGGTGGCGGAAGTGGTGGAGGTGGAACGAGTGGTGGAAAGCAAGGAGGCAGCAGTGGTAGTTGTGGATCTCGCCAACAGCCACGCACTCGAGCTCGAATTATGAGAAATTCTATTCGTGCTGCTCCTAGTTCTCAAGGTAATTTGTCTATTGTTTTCCTTAGTTATAAAATAATAAAGAATGCCGAACCTATGCTTAAACCATTATTGTGCAGGCTCTTTCTGTTCATCAAGTTTTAGCTTTTTTTTAAACAGGTACTGAAAATATGTATATAATTTGAGTAATCTATTTAATATTTGGGCAGGGTCTACAAGTCGTGCCACTGGTGTTATAATTGGAGCTTCAGGTTCAGGGCGAGTTGTTTCTATGCCTGCTCCTTTTGTACCTGAAGATCTTGTCACACAGGCTCAAGTTGTACTCCAAGGCAAAAGTAGAAGCCTCATCATCAGGGAGCTACAAGTATGTGCTTTTGAAATAGTAAATTATCATATGATGTTTGAACACCAATCAAATTGCAGGGTATCTTAAAGTATTTTTTTATTAAATTTGTTGGAGCTTTTGGTAGTAACCAAGAGGTGAAATTGAGGGTCTAAACTGAAAACTCAATTATGTATTAGATTAAGAATTTGTAGGAGAGTGAATCTTCAACCTAATAATCTCTACATAAATGTGAAATGTCAAGCGACAGTGTTTACAGTATTAGTAAAAAAAATCCAGGTTTAAATTGAATCATACTAATGAATTTATAACTATTTACCTTAATGAAACACAAAACAAAGTTTGAAGACCTGCATGAGTCGATCAGCAAGACTGAACTTGTTTGGTAACCTCTCTAACTACTACTGTATTGCATCGCGTAGGTCCGTAGGATGCCCACAACGACGACTATTATGATATGATAGGCGTCCTTAGTATGTACTCTATGGACACAATCAATCACTAGAGTCATAAATAATATTTCACCAACCGGTGGTCTCAAATGCATTAGATCTGTATTGTGTAACCAGCTTGGGAAAGTCGTGCAAACTTTCGAATTTAGAAAACTTGCATCAAGGAAGCTAGGGGACTTCTTTCCTCACGAATATTGGGGGGTCCAGATCAGGATAGATCAGGATGTGTGCCGCCTCTACGCAGTGGTGGTGCTATCGATGGCAATGTACGGTGTGCCTGTATGGGCTGAGCCGCGCAATCGGGCCGCTATCGCTTGGATACTGCACCGACCGCAGCGCACCGTTGCTATCAGGATCATTCGTGGATATCGCATCGTCTCCTTCGAGGTGGCGTGTTATTGGCGGGGACACCGCCATAGAAGCTAGAACTATCGGTGGCGCAGCGAGCTTCGTGCTCTGGGCGTGGCGCGTCTCCCCAAAAGTGAGCTGTGGGCGCGGAAGGCCCATTTTCGACGGTCCGTGCTCGAGTCGTGGTCGAGGCGGTTGGCCAACCCCACGTAGAGTCTACGGACCGTCGAGGCGGCTTACCCAGTCTTTGATGACTGTATGAATCGTGGCGGAGGACGCCTCATCTTCCGTTTGATGTAGGTGCTGACCGAGCATGGATGCTTCGGGAAGTATTAGGGATTAAAATATAAAATTGAAGATTTGTACTGAGAAATTGAAATTCAATTTTTTTTTTCATTTAACATATTTATTTAATTAAATTATCTACCATTATTATCTATACATTGCTGCAATCTAATAGGAAGGTCATTTATGCTGTTGCGATAGAACTCTGGATATCTAGATTCTACAAACTGTGTGAAAGCATTTTGTACTGCCCCTTGGGAAGAAAACTTTTTATCATGTAGAAAATTGTCCAAATCACGAAAAAAATGGTGTCCGTTGGAGCAAGGTCTAGCGAATACGTAGAGTGACGAATGGTTTCTAATTGCAGTTTCTCTAGAGTTAAAACGGTTTCTCGTGCTGTATTAGGTCTCGCGATATCATGGAGCAATAATGGTGAAGATCGATTTATGAGTTGGGGCTGTTTCACTGCAAGTTTTGCTATCATTATTCGACATAGTTGCACAGTAGACATCTGCCGTTTTAGACATTATTTGACGAGATCGGAGAAAACTGTAGTGAATAACACCATGCTGAGATCACCAAACAGTTACCATTACTTTTTTTGTGGTAAGCTTTGGACACTTGCGGCGTTTGGCCTGGGGTCAGCCATTGCATTTTTCGCTTACGGTTATCGTAAAGAATCCACTTTTCATCACATGTCACAGTTCGATTCAATAATCCTTCATTTCTGTATCGTTTCAACAAGGCAACACAAGTTTCAACACGCGTTTCTTTCTGCAGATCATTCAAATCATGGGGCACCCATTTTTCATTTTATTTTATTTTATTGATTTGACGCAAATGAGCCAATATTGTTGGTAAGGTAACGTTAAACCGTGCCGCTAATTCTTGGGTAGTTTAGCTCGGATCGACTTCCGCCATCTCTTTCAATTCATTGTTATTCACATGTGTGGGCGGTCTTCCACGTGGTTCGTTCTTCAAATCAAAATTTCCATCACGAAAGCGTTTAAACCAACATCGCACGGTGCGTTCATTAGCAGTCCCCTCTCCAAACGCAACATTGATATTGCGAGCTGTTTCTGCGACGTTATTTCCGCATCGGAACTCGTATTCAGAAATCACTCGAATTTTCGAAGTATCCATCTTTCTGGTCCAAGCTGATTAAAAAAAACAACAAAGTCGACAATCGAATGTTCACCTTTTTTTAAAAGAAGAACTTAATAGGTTTCACAATAGTTTCACTCAAAAATCTCAAACCATGAAAGTTCTAGGGTAATTCGAAGTACCTATTACAATAGAAGGATAATTTCATACTTTAAGCCCTATTACCTGCACCGGTTAGGAGCTGAGCCGACGACGAGGTTCCACCATTGTGGGTATGAACTGGACACGGCGGAGCATACGCTCGCTGTCTGCTACGCTTGGGAGGTGGAGGGCCGTGTCCAGGTCCAAAGATAGGATTTTGCTGCCTGTCGTAGTGGCGTCGATGCTTGACGGCGACGAATCCTGGAAGACTATGCTCGACTTCTGTGAGTGCACCATCTCGCGGAAGGAGGTGGCGGGGCGAGTGAGGCAAAGCCCTCCTCACTACGCAGAAACCCGCCGCCGCCGAGCAGGGGATCGGGACCGGGGTCCCATCCGTGATCCGGCTCCCTAAGACCTTCGAGCTCCACCCACTTTGTTCGGGGAGGGACCCAGGCGTGAGGTGTGCTCGGCACGCTGGCCCGTAATAGGAAACCGGGTAATGGTAGGGCGCGTTCTCTTGACCGCTCCGGGAGAAGGTGTAGCGCGGCGCCATCAAGGCGAGCTTCCGGCCCGTTGACCGAGGTAACCGGTGGTCGTGTTGCCGGCGGCCGCCGGTTCAGCATCTGGGGGACGGCGGGTGGGATATAATATGTTCTGCGTCGATTCTGTCCTGCCGTTTCAATACCCCCGACTGGACTTCTCCGGCCCGGTTCGGGATCGGGCGCCGGCTTTTAGCGGCAGGAGTTTTCGATGATGTTCAGCTCCCACATACCCCACCCGCCGGACGGGTGAGGATCCGGTGATTGTCTCCTGTACAAAAAAGGGGTACTCCTTAATTAGTCCCAGAAACCTGTTACAAACCATTAAGGAAAGCTAAACAAGTCATTAAGTGTTCAATGTGTTCGATAGCATGAGCAATATTTGAGGTAAATCATTTCTCCACAACGATAGACGAGAAGGAAAGAAGACTGAATCGAGTAGTTAAATAATGAAAACGTAGACAATTTTGATTCATTAGTGAGTGCTGGTTTAGGAGTGAACTTAGATGATATTCCATAACACTCCTAATAAGCAAATTTAGTGATAATGTTGTCAGGACGACATCACAGTATTGTATCAATCAAATTCAATGAAAAATATAAAAAATAAGAATCCTCACCCTATAGGTTGAGTTCTACTTCATTCACGTGTTCGGATACGAGTTTTAAAGCGATAGAGGGTTTTGTTGGTATATATATATATATATATATATATATCTCCCTCCTACGAATGTCAATTTTTTCTGATCCAAAAGATAAATTGCAATACTAGAGAGAACATTGAAATTTAATATAGCTATAATCATGTTGAGGAGCAGATATAGGAAAACTAGGGGACTGAAACCCACGCTCTAAAATTGATAACTAGGTAGAGAGAAGAGAAACTTGGAATAAAGAATTGGAATAAAAATAAATAAGGGCTATTTGTACAATGAAAAATATGCTCTCGTTATTTTAGAACAAGATAGCAATTATTCCAGTGCAATTGAGCCTACGACCTCATGTTTTAAAATGTTGCGACTTCCGTCGTGACGTCCATGGATAATCAGTAAAAATATGACGTACAGACTGATTCTATGATAGTCTTTATATTTATGGGTTATAACTTATTGTTTTGAACGTTTGTCCGTTATGTATGTGTCCAAAATGATTGAACAAAAATAGCGCACAAACCTGGACGTGAATCTTGCGGTGAACAACCTACTGTCGCGCGACGATGAAGAGGGCGAGGAGCCAGAGGGAGGTGAAGGTGGCGACGGTTACGTTCCTGAGGATCTCATTTCACTGCTCGACGGAGGATTCCATGCAGCGCAACAGGACCACTCCGTCATCATTGATGCTGACGCAATGTTCTCCGAGGACATCTTCGGGTACGCGGCTATCAGAAGGTATAACCTGTCAAGCTATGCTCCTTTGCCAAACACATCCCTACCCGTAGTTGAATAGTCCTGATTCCAATCTAGCACGCTCGAAAGCTTACGCTGCCTTCCTCTTGTGTTTCGTGATAGGACTTATGTATATGTCAAAGGCTAATTTAAAAGCATGCATTTATATATAAAACATCTATTTAATAAAATAGGTTGTTTTTATCAGTAGCTGCTTTGTATAGAGATTGTTCTTAGTAAATTTTTTAAACGGAAACTTAATTATACAATGTTGTATAGTCGCAGTGGAGGCGGCGGTGGTGGTGGCAGCGGTGGCCGCAGTGGCGCCAGCCGTGAGAGCAGCAGCTCAGCCCAAGAGCGAACTTCAGAGTTTCGTTGGCGTGAGCGTCAGTACTTTGGACCACGTCGATGGCTGGAATCAGCCCTTAGAGATACGTCATCTTGGGATAAAGATGGAAGTATGTTGTTTTATTTGTTGTTACTTCCCATTACAGATTCTGTTATATATCTCTGAAAATTATTATAAAAAAGCCCATTTACCGTAATGCTTTATCATTAGAATGCATTGCGTAATGGATATAACACCTCGGTATCGAATAATGTGCTTTTGCTGTGGCTCAAATCCTACAGACAAGTGTTGTAAATTTAAATGTACCTTGTACTTGTACACAAAAAATAACATCGCGTTATAAAATGATAATTCTGCGTAATGGAATAATGCGTAATTGCGTAATACTACCAATAAAATAAAAAGAGGGATTAATCTTGAGGCCTGAGGCGGTATTTATAGGAAAATACAACTATTTGCCTATCATTAATAAGATTAATTGCAATTTTTCTTTTAGCTGAAAGTAAAAAAAAAGAGTCCGGTTTGGCAGCTTCGCCTCTTTGGGTTTCTGAAGAACTAGAATACTGGGATAGTAATGTGAGATTTACGCGAATTGCTGCAACGTATAGTGAACTGGTTGCAATTTCAACCAATGGGCAGCTTTACCAGTGGCGCTGGGCCGATGCGCACCCATACCAACGCAATGAGGTATTTATTAAATTGTAAATCACATTTCAGTGTAATTTGTATTAAAGAAAAACTTAATTAAAACTAAAACAAATTATTCACTTAATAGGGTACCAATTGTGCCTTTCATCCGCGATCCAACTGGCTGGGATTGACATCGAGTGAACGTATTGTCAACGTTAGCGCGGCTGGCATACGCGTATCTGTGCTTACTGATACTGGACGCATCGCTACATTCCTTGATGAATCTATAGGTAATTATTGCATAATGTTAAAAAAAATATACGTTATACTTGTATTAATATAGAAAACTTATTAAAAACGTCTTATATTTATAGCTCACGCTCCTGGTGCATCTCGGTTGGAACACCCCTTACAACCATTTATGGAATTTGGATCTGACAAACCTGTATCCTTGCACGTATGCTCTTTGTACACAGTTGCGAAGCTAGATTCGGGAGCTCTTTATTGGTGGTGAGATTATCTTACATTTTTATAAATTAAATCTCAGAAAAGTTTACATGGATGTGTAAAATTTCAATGTTTGTAATCATGATCTGTTTTTATAGGGGAGTTTTGCCATTGGGACAAAGAGCGCGTCTATGGGAGAAGCATCGCGCAAGATCTCGCAAACAACAGCGAGGCCATTTTTCCACTACACCACAGGACCTACAAGCAGGACAGAGTGTCACTATGAAAAATGCGCCTATGTACCAACCTGGTGCTATTGGTAAGATCATTATAGAACCATAATATAACTTAGGGTTTTTCATATGTACAAAATAATATTATAGTTTACGATTGAGTTCGAAATAGAAGAAAGAACTGACACTAGAGGAACTTACCTTATATTATAAGTATATTTCATTTTTTATATGCAGCTATTAACCAGAAGATGTTTTATGTGATGTTGGTACTAACACCAGAAATACCATATTTTGAAGTAAAGTTCGTTACTTATTATCCAGCTCTTCTTCACCCCTTTATCCACAAGTTTTGGTGGTGGGGCATGCAATGAACACACATGGGTTGGTACCATCTAATGCTAATCTAAGGTATGGTAAATTCAATTGATATTTCAATGTTGTGTTTCAAGATTGGAACCGTCATTCATGTCGTGGCGGCTAATTAGACACCGAAAATCATTTAACATCAGATAAGCCGGAGCTGTCCATTTTACTCAACGAAAAAAGTAATTAAAATAATAGTTGCAAAAATAATTTATGCCCTACGAAAATTAATGCAAATTACAATAATAGGTTTTAACATGTCTACGGGAGTGCCTAAAGTCGGTATTCTACAAAATGCAGCATGGAACCTATCAGATATGTGTCGCTTCAAATTGTTGCCAGCACCTCAACCAGATCGCTCTATATCGGACAAGGACAAAAGGGATTTACAGGTAAATATAATATAAATAAAATAGTACAATAATTGATCATAACTTGCACTCAATAGAAAAAAAGTAGCCTACATAGAACAAAAACAAAACAAAATAAAGTGATCGGTAATCCTTTTCATATTTTAATCTTAAACATTATTACGACTCATTAACAGGATTATTCTTATAAGTCAACCACTAGTTATTGGAAGGAAATTCGTGTATGAGTTTAAGTTCACCCATTTTATAAAATATAAACAGTTGAGATCTTGACATCTATTTTTTTTGTACACTGTATAATAATATGCATATCAAATGTTAAACAAACCTAACAATTTAATATTTGATGTTAAAACTTTTTTAGAATCAGTCTCCGCTCACTGTTTCATCGGTAAAAGCTTCGTCGTCCAGTGGTAACAACAAGGATGGCAACAAAGATAGCAACAAAGACATGGCTGATAGACTTGATATGCCACCACCACCTAGTCCCGCATCATCCACATGCAGTGACACTAGCACTTCACATAGTAAGTACAAGATATCATAGTGCTGCTCCTGAGTAATATCAATTAGTATACTGTCTAAGAAACTGCCTGTAATATGGCATGTAAACGTCGAGGGCCTATAGATATATTGGTGGTATGGTATTTTTCATGGTAACTGGTGAGCTCTTGTATGTGACAGTAGAGTTGTCTGCTTATCACATGGTAGGTATTTCTTCAATTTTTGTTGGCGAGGTGTTTGGCCTGAGAGTGATGTGTTATTATTCGAAGGTAAAGCGTTTCTTTCGTTTGGTTAATTTATATAATTTCTTTAACAGAACGTGCTAAAAGAGTAACAGTGCGTGGTGAGGAGGGATCTTCTAATGATGGATCTAAACGCGATGAAGAAGAATGGCCTCTCAAGGAAGTAGTTTTTCTAGAAGATGTTAAAAGTGTACCACTAGGCCGTGTACTAAAAGTCGACGGCGCTTATGCTGCCGTACGATTCCCAACAATCGGAAAAGATGGGAAAGAAGTGGTACCATCTTCTGGAGATGACTGGACCACGCTGCTACAAGACTGTCGTCTTGTGAAGAAAGATGATCTCGTCGCGGTCAAAAGTGGGACAGGAGGAGCTACTGGTCCACGGGGACCTGACTGTGTACAGCGTTCTCCCAGAAAGATTGCATTGCCTCCCGAAGTGCAAGTTTTGACAATTGCTGTGAGTTTTAACTTTTCTGGGTTTATTATATAAAAATAATTTTATTAATTTAGACTGAGAACTAATATTAATTACGTTGGTTCAAAACAGGTTGATAACCGCGGTGTGCACGCAGTAGTGCGACGACCTGGCGGCACGCTTGCTTATGCCGTGTACGCCGTGGGAACCACACGTGCACTCACTGATAGTGTCTTCCCCACGGACAACAATGCTCTACTCGGCCATTCAGGTGGTCAAGCCATCCAGCTCACCACTGCTGCTGAGGTAAGGATGCTATAAATAATTATCTTCATTGAAGTGCATAACGGAGGTCGAGACTACGGTATAAAACGCTAAAAATTTAAGTACAGATCTATGTGCTACAACAGCTTTACTATACAGGGAAGCGAGCCTGTGGTGATGTTGGTGGACGGGAACAGTGCGATGTACCCACTGGCACGTGACTGCGTGGGCATGGTGCGCGAGCCGCCCCCGCTGAACCTGGCGCCGGCCCGTGCTCTGGCTGCACACGCGCTCCCACTCCATCCACACGCTCCACACCACCATCAAGCAGCACTCAAGTCACAGGTGAGACATACGTATAAGATTTATATACCATCTAGGAACCATAGGTAGGTAGCGGCTTGGCTCGGTAGGCAACGGCTTGGCTCTGCCCCTGGTATTGCTGAAGTCCATGGGCGACGGTAACCACTCACCATCAGGTGGGCCATACGCTCGTCTGCCTACAAGGGCAATAAAAAAATACATCTAGTTTTAATTCTATTGCCTAGTTGACTTTGGTAAAATAACAATGAAAAGAAAGTACACATTATTTTGACATCATAATGAAATGTAGCTAATAAATATGTTATTTATGTGAATAAAATTGTTTTATAAAAACTTTTATTTTGACAGGTTGCCCTGATAATAATAGTACCCGAGCCCCAGCTGATGATGCCACGCGTTCTCCGTTGCGACTTGGATGGCGTCCGACAGTTGCTACATCAACTTGAAAATGAAAATAATAGTATGTTGAAACATTCGTAATTTAACCAATATTGTTAAGTTATAAATTACAAAAATTATATGCTGTCTTTTTTAACTGTTAACAGAACAACAAATCGTATCAATTCTCCAAGAACGGTGTGATGGCAATAGAAACATTCTTCATGCCTGCATACATATGTGTGCTCCTACCTCAAATAAGGAGCCTGATATTGGTTAGTAGCTAAATGTAACTTGTCTTAGTTCAAACATTTATAAAACATTAAAATAAAGGATCATATATATAAAATAACGTGACTGCCGCCAGCCACTTTTAGACCTCAACGGTTTTCAAACCAGAATACGTTAATTGCTTTGTGTCAGAAATAGGTAGGATGGTCATAACTAGGTGTACGGGCGCAAGAAGCTCTACGGAAGATAGATTGAAATGTAAACTTCACTGACACTTCAAAATTTTAATTTATTTTATGTAGTAATTTTTTCTCCTTTATGTTTGTTATAATTAATTTTAACATCTGGAAAAACTTACTTTACAAAAAAATTACAGTACTTAAGTTAAAAGTATAATAATATTTTAAGCAACATGTCTATATGTATAATATGTATGTATATATAAAAATGAATTGCTGTTCGTTAGTCTCGCTAAGAGCGGCTGGACCGATTTGGCTAATTTTGGTCTTCAATTATTTGCGGAATTCCAGAGAAGGTTTAAAAGGTATATAAATATGAAAATGCTCGGAATTAAATATAAATAACAATTTTGTTTTCCCTTTGATGTCCCCCCCGTCGGACGGATTTCTTTTTGTTTGTTTTAAGTTTATTTTATACAAAAATTTAGGTCTGTTATTTATCGATTGAGGCACTACGAAGTCTGCCGGATCAGCTAGTCTATATATATAAAAATGAATTGCTGTTCGTTAGTCTCGCTAAAACTCGAGAACGGCTGGACCGATTTGGCAAATTTTGGTCTTGAATTATTCGTGGGAGTCCAGAGAAGGTTTAAAAGGTGAAAAAATATGAAAATGCTGGAATTATATAAAAACAAACAATTTTGTTTTTCCTTTGATATGTCCCTGTCGGACGGATTCCTTTGGTTTTTTTTTTTTAAGTTTATTTTATACAAAAGTTTAGGTCTTTTATTTATCGATTGAGGCACTACGAAGTCTGCCGGGTCAGCTAGTTTAAAAAAAAAATCGGTTCTGTTTTTTCGCCTTTTCACATATAGATAATATAAAACTCACGTAAACATACAATGTTCTTAAATTGTTACTGTTTTTTGGGAAAATCAGTCGAAAATTCAATGCCAAATCTCGCAAGTGGCACTACTGGAGCTGCAGCAAATGCGGAAGAAGCAGTACCTGCTATATCATGGCCACCTGAGACTTTTGAGGCGTCCGGTGATGAAGACAGTTTGATGGGACTAACTAATAATGGGTAAAAAATTTACATACTTAAAATACAGTACAATGGCGTTGTGTTCTTTTAAATTAGAGATTTTTTAACTATGTTTTAGAAAAATATCGGGCAGTGGTAATAGTTCCGGTGGTGCAGTAAGCTCGGATCCCGCCGAACGTCGTGGCAATGCTCTTACTGCCTTACGTGCACTCTGTGAGAGTGCTGCGCTCAAGCCCTATCTCTTGCAGTTGCTTATCGCAAGGTAAGTACAGCAACCATTTTCATTGAGAACTGTTTTAGTTCCTTAACAGTAACATTAAAGTGATATTAATAAAATAAACTTGAAAATTAAACTGTGTGTTACTTTAAACAGAGATGGAATGGGACAAACTCCGTTAATGGCAGCTGTGGCCGAGCGCGCTTACCGCGCCGCTCTTGTGTTGCTCGATGCGGTACGCGCGTGCTCCGACGCAGACGAGGCACAGCGCTCAGAAGCCATATTTCCACCAAATGCACATCCGGATCACTCACCCTTACTTGTTCTTTGCTGTAATGACACCTGTAGTTTTACTTGGACAGGCCAAGAACATATTAATCAGGTAAATATAATAATATTGACATAGACCAGGGTAGAAGCCTTTAAAAATAATGAATAGTGAAAGAAAATAATAGTAGGATGAAACCCATTACAAAAGGAGGGGAATATTATAAAAATGAAAGGAAAAATAATTTACGGGCGATCTGAGGTCGGGAAGGGGTTGGGGGGGGGGGTAGGTTTAGGGTAAAAAACGGTTTTTCTCGATTTCCGGCAAAACTAAAAGTCCAATGGAAAAAAGTCAAACGGCAAAGTTGTAGGTAATAAAAAGATCTAACACTTTTGTATTTACACTTTTTTCACATAACCTCAAAATTTAAGTGAAACATTAAAAAAACCAAGTTTTTGGTTTTTTATTTTTATCTTTTTCAAAAAAAATCTTTTTGCACGAAATTTGCTGAAAACTTACCTTTTTATGTCCCAAATACGCTGTAATTTATTTGATTAGAAATATTTATTTTTTCACCTTATTTTGAATTAATATCGAAAAAGGACCCTCATTTTCAATCGAAAATTCACCCGTCAAAATATCAGCTTTTTTCAAAAAATTGGTGTTTTCTGTTCGTTGAAATCTCTTTTTTCCGATGGTGAAAAAAAAAAAAATGTTACTATAGTTAATCTTCTCAGAAAATGCAAAAAATCGAAAAAAAACTCGAATTCGAATATATTTTTTTAATTATTTTAAAATTTACACTTTAATTACTCGAAAAACATAAGATTACATGTTATATTGATAGAAAAAAATTGCAAATCAAAATATAATACTATAATTAACAAACAAATAAGATAATAAAATTCATATTTAATAAGACATCTACAATATTTGGAGAAAGTTGTCGAATCTTCTTTAAATTATATGCGTAGATGCCTATTTATAACTATTTTTAGATAACTTATATACCTGAGTGACTTACGAAAAATTTTAGCACATCAAAAGGTATTTGAAATATATGAAATATACATGAAAATCAGCCAAAAGTTAGTTATTTAAAATATATTTACGATATATATTTATATACAACATGTAACATAATTAACGCACACCCTGAAAGTAATTTGTTCAGAATCGGAATCTGGATCGATTTTGATTGTTTTTTATGTACCAAATTTTTTTTCTAAAATTTAGTTAAAACTAAGTAAATTACAGTCACCCTACACAGCTAGCTAAACAGTTCATAGAAACGAAAATGGAACGTAAGTCAGGGTATTAAGACTTTTTAAAATGAAATATCTAATTAGTAAAAAAATATATTATTTAATTAAATAAATCTGATACTTATTTCAAGGCTAATAGTCTATTACAAAATAAAATACCTACGCACACAATACCAACAGCGACCGCCGGCACACAGCAACACTACAATACATAAAAGAAAACCACGTAATACAAAAATAATTACTATCCCTTTCTTTCGTCGGCTTAATATTCATAAAATAAACGGCAGGCTAATCCCGATACGACGCGGTTGCGTCGGCGGTGATCAAAGAAAAATCTAAACAACGAAGTCAACAAAATATTTTTGACAAGTCAGTCACGCCGCGTCCACCTTATCGATAAGAGGTCAAGTGATAGTGCAAATAAAATATCTCCCGTATTTCGCTGTCTTTTCGGTCAGTGACCTCCTAGATCAGCTGATTTGACGCCTCTCGACTTTTTTTGTGGGGGCGAATTAAATCGCTAGTTTATAACACACAGACAATAAGTGCCGAAGAACTAAAGAATAAGATAATAACCGCCTTTGATAAAGTAAAAAGTGACATTGCAGTATTATCTAAAATAAAACAACAAATACGAAAACGGTCATTAAAGTGCATTGAACAAGCGGCGCGGCGAGTAGGTGTCTGTGTGTGCGTGCGCAGCGGAGTGTGAATCGGTGACCATTTTATTTCCACGAAATTGGAATAATTAATTTCACAAATAATCAATGTTAACGCACATATAAATAATATTTGGTGTATGCATAGCGTTTATACTATTAAAGTCTAATTGGGGTGTTTGAGGGTGTGCGTTAAATATGTTACATGTTGTATACAGTCAAAATCTGTTATAACGACATCGAAGGGACTGCTCATATTCAGTCGTAAAAACCGATAGTCGTAACAACCGGTGATGTTTAATGTGTATCGTCAAGTACAAACAAATCGATAGGGAATTATTGGAAAAATATATTTACATAATACGCGATTTTTCTTCAATATTAATTTGTTTTCTTTTCTTTGCGAGATTTTGAAAGTTTCACGAATAACTCCACAAAGTTTTGGTGCGTCTTGTGTATAGACAGGTAACAAACTAACTGAAGAGATATGAAGAAGTGGGCTTTGACTACCGCATGCACGTGTTTTGTTTCTAAGAATTAGAAAAGACCCTACACTAAACTAAATCCTATTGTTTTCTTTCCTGATTTTAAAAGCCATTGAAGACAAATGTGGATACCTATTCAAATTGTTTACAATACAGCGTAGCCGGTCGTTCTAACAGATCTAATTCTCCGAAATATTAGTTAAATGTGGTCGTTTTATCAGGTATGTCGTTATTACCAATGTCGTAGAAAGCAATATTTTTAATAAGGCGGTCATATGGCATTCAGCCGGGACCTTTGTTCTTGGTTATTATAACCGGCATGTTGTAATAAACGATGTCGCAGTAAACGGTTTTGACTGTATTTATATATTTTTTATAGATTTTTAATATATTGTTTATGTATTTAGAAATTTTTTTTTCCTGGGAGTTACTAAATTTGTTTGTGCAAAATTAAGGAGATTATTATTTTTTAATAACTAACTTTTGGCTGACTTTCATGTATATTTCATATATTTCAAATACCTTTTGATGTGCTAAAATTTTTCGTAGGTCACTCAGGTATATAAGTTATCTAAAAATAGTTATAAATAGGCATCTACGCATATAATTTAAAGAAGATTCGACAACTTTCTCCAAATATTGTAGATGTCTTATTAAATATGAATTTTATTAACTTATTTGTTTGTTANTGCTAAAATTTTTCGTAGGTCACTCAGGTATATAAGTTATCTAAAAATAGTTATAAATAGGCATCTACGCATATAATTTAAAGAAGATTCGACAACTTTCTCCAAATATTGTAGATGTCTTATTAAATATGAATTTTATTAACTTATTTGTTTGTTAATTATAGTATTATATTTTGATTTGCAATTTTTTTCTATCAATATAACATGTAATCTTATGTTTTTCGAGTAATTAAAGTGTAAATTTTGAAATAAAAATTTGTATATAATAATAAAAAAAAAATCGAATTCGAGTTTTTTTTTCGATTTTTTGCATTTTCTGAGAAGATTTACTATAGTAACATTTTTTTTTTTTTCACCATCGGAAAAAAGAGATTTCAACGAACAGAAAACATACCAATTTTTTGAAAAAAGCTGATATTTTGACGGGTGAATTTTCGATTGAAAATTAGGGTCCTTTTTCGATATTAATTCAAAATAAGGTGAAAAAATAAATATTTCTAATCAAATAAATTACAGCGTATTTGGGACATAAAAAGGTAAGTTTTCAGCAAATTTCGTGCAAAAAGATTTTTTTTTGAAAAAGATAAAAATAAAAAACCAAAAACTTGGTTTTTTTAATTTTTCACTTAAATTTTGAGGTTATGTGAAAAAAGTGTAAATACAAAAGTGTTAGATCTTTTTATTACCTACAACTTTGCCGTTTGGCTTTTTTCCATTGGACTTTTAGTTTTGCCGGAAATCGAGAAAAACCGTTTTTTACCCTAAACCTACCCTCCCCCCCCCCAAACCCCTTCCCGACCTCAGATCGCCCGTAAATTATTTTTCCTTTCATTTTTATAATATTCCCCTCCTTTTGTAATGGGTTTCATCCTACTATTATTTTTTTTGGTTTTAAAAATTATCGACACTGGTCTAACAGTAAAATAATGTAATTGAAAATTAACAGTCCTAAAATTTCATAAATCTAATGTTTTTAGGACATATTTGAATGCAAGACTTGTGGACTCACCGGATCTCTATGCTGCTGTACTGAATGTGCCAAGGTAAGTTGCCTATACATGTACTTATAGAAATTAAGAGAAAATACAATGGCATAGAATACAAATATTTAGACAGTGTTAAACACTTCCTAGTTTCTTCCTTGATAATAGTCACCGGATATCCTAGCTAGACTAATTATTTCTATTGACACCAGATAAATTTTACTGCTACCATTTACATATTTTCATTGAATTTAAATATTATATTTTTACTATTGGTAAGTGTCCCTTTGTTATGTGATATATATATTCCGATCGCAGTTGCATTTTGTTACAATATTTATTTTTATTTTTTACTACTTCGATGGGTGAACGAACTCACGGCACACCTGATATTAAATGGTTACCTCGGAGCTCATAGACATCTACAACATAAACGTTGCCACCCAACTTGAGACAGGTCTAATGTCTCACTTTAAACTTTATTAATGGACTAGGTGTATTTTATCTTGTCTCGTAGGTGTTTGCAGGGAAAACCTCAGATATAATCCTAGCTTGAGTCTGTTGCATTTTTTTTGTCTAAAATTGCAAAATTGAATAAACATATTTTGCTGTTTTGGGATGGCAAACATATTTTCATGTACAAAACGTCGGTTTCGACTTTTGACCAATTTTGAAAATAAGGCCATCTGCATTTGTTTCTCCTTTTCGTATTGTATATGTTTTAAAGTAGGATACCTTTTTTTTTAATACCTCTTATTTTAGGTATTTGCGTTTCTTAGCACAAGCATTGAACTCAATTTAGGTCTTTGTCTAGTCGGTCTATGTAGATTTGGTTCTAATTTAACAATACTTGATATTATTTCATTGTAGGTTTGCCACAAAGGACATGATTGTAAGCTAAAACGTACGTCACCTACCGCTTATTGTGACTGCTGGGAGAAATGCCGGTGCAAAGCACTCGTTGGTGGCAACTGGGCGGCTAGATGCGAACTGTTGACTCGCCTCGCCCGTGATACACAACTTGCGACTCATTTTAACTCAAGGTAAATATTGTGGTCGATATAGTAGTCATATGAATATTACTATGAATAAATAACTTTTTCATAATGACTTTTCTGTTGAAATTTATTCTTTAATCTCATTTTTTTATATATATAAAATTATTTCTTATTCATACAGGGGTGAATCGATCCTGCTGTTTCTAGTTCAGACAGTAGGTCGTCAGGCTGTTGAACAACGCCAGTTCCGCGCTGGTGGAGGACGAGGTCGGGGTCCCCGCAAACAGCCTGGCTCTGATGCTGAAGTAGATGCACCGGATCATGATCTTGAACCCCCACGGTTTTCACGAAGAGCTTTATTGCATTTGCTCGGTAAGAGATGAATATAATTCATGAATCACGACTACCGTGACAAATTTTTTTGAAACTAAGACTAGCCTACAAAAGCATTGCATAACACAATATACTTTTATTTGTTGTAACATCAAATCTGTCACGAATATCACATTTTAATAACTCATTACTTTGAATTCACACTGAATTGAATGCGTTCGTGTATGTCCAGCGGATTGGCCAGCTGTAGAGGCGGCTGTGATGTGCGGCGCAAGCGGTGCCCCGGGCGAGGAGAGTCGGCCCGGCACCCCCACGCCGCACCAGTCCGGCACCACACTGCTCGACAAGTTTACCCATGCTCTCATAGTTAAATGTACAAGTAACGAGGTCAGTTTACTTTATTCACGGTTAATTACAATAAAAACTCCTACTCCTTAATGTTACTATATTGAACAATAGAATAAATTAATAGAAGAAAAAATATATTATTTTATTATATGTTAACTTAAGGGCTTTTCTTCATGCTCTTTATCACACAATTAATATTATTACATTGTAAAAGCGGTATATAAAGAATACATTTAACATTTAGTAATATTAAATAATAAAGTGTTTTTAGAAAAAAATTTAAAAGCAGATATTGTTAGTTTAAAAATGTCTCATTAATTAAAATTTACGAACAAATATTATTATATTTTAGATGTTGGATACCCTACTGCATACATTGATTCGTGAGCAACAAAATGATTCGATCCCAGGACGAGCTGAACGCGCTCGCGAAGTTGCACGACGATTTGTACGCTCAGTTGCCAGAATTTTTGTTATATTTAGTGTTGAAATGGCACCCGGAGCTGCCAAAAAGAAAGGGTAAGCGAACTGTCTAATCATATTACACATTAGTGAGATATTTAGATTGCTGTGTATAGATATTTTAAATAAAATTCAAAAATTTCAGACCACTTTCGATAACATCTTCACTAGTCCGTTGCCGTCGCGTCTTTGCTGCATTAGTTGCTCTCTCTGTTGAAGAACTAGTAGAAGCCGCTGATGCTTTACTTGCCCCAGTTCGACTTGGTGTTGTTCGTCCTACAGCACCCTTCCCTCTGGCAACTACATATGTTGATCTTGTGAATGGGAGCGAAGACTTGTTCGGAGTGGAACCACTGTCGACCGGACACTCGCGTCTTCCACACACCCGAAGGTATTTTATGATAATAGTGTCAACTTTAGAATACAATTAATATCTACAATGTGCTCATTTTTTTATTGCATAGACTTTGATTTAGGTAAACGAATTCACAGACCACGTGAAAAGTGAATACCAGAATACATAGTGACCACAATCTGAATACCGCTGCGCATATTAACCCTTTTAGTGCTGAGCTTATATTCACATATTTTGAAGAACTTATTAAGGATTTTTGAGAAATCTATTTAAATAAAAATTAATTGCTGTTCGTTAGTCTCGCTAAAACTCGAGAACGGCTGGACCGATTTGACTAATTTTGGTCTTGAATTATTCGTGAAAATCCAGAGAAGGTTTAAAAGTTGAAAAAGTATGAAAATGCTCGGAATTAAATAAAAATAACAATTTTGTTTTTCCTTTGATGTTCCCTGTCGGGCGGATTCCTTTTGTTTGTTTTAAGTTTATATTATACAAAAGTTTAGGTATTTTATTTACCGAAAGGTCAGCTAGTATCTTATAAAAATCTCTAACTTAAAAAAATAACAATGCTAAATTCATGGTAAAATAATATTAAATGGCTATTTATTAATAATGTTATTAACTTAATAAAAACTTAATAGGTTAGTATCGTCGTAGGTAGGTATCGACTTAACACCTATAATGAAACTGCGCAATAGTCGATATTCTGACGGAATATATAATATAATATATCGACTCTATTAATGATATAAAGATACTCATTAATAGAGAGTCGATCTATCAACGGTTCGCGCTCAAAGGCTTAAGATGCTAGGATCCAAGTCTCAAACGTCTCGTTCCGCGATGAAATAATACAGCAGTGCTTCACGGTAAAATTTGGCAGACTGGTGATACTTATCCATATTGGTTCACAATCACAATGTTATGCTTCATCCTGGAAGTACTTCGTGAACATTTGTTTAATATGTACGTAGAATTTGGTACCTGCCTGCCAGATTTGAACAGCGGCATATTTGCATCGCTAGATATAATTACACCAGCCGTCTTGACTTTCCGGCCACGAAATGGTCGAATATTAATAAACTTTTGGGGTAAAGGGAATCAAATGCTGCTGGTGGTCGTAATGCAGCATCCGGTGGTGCTTCCATGGGAAATTCCTCATTAGCACCAGATCGTTCTTCGACACCGGTAGCTACCGAATACGCGGATGACGTTGCGGGAGAGGCACTTGGCGGAGATGACGATGCGTCTGAAACTGACGAACCCAATGCTCCTGCTCCTGCCCAGCAAAATGATGTGCAGCATCATGATGATGCTATGGGCGAGAGGTAAATAAATTAATTGAATTTTTGCCAATTCTAGAGACCATCTTATTCTAATTTTGAGTTACTAAAAGAAAGAGAAATACAAATCGAGCAAATGGATAATTATTGATAATTAATACTAGTAAATGGATAATTACTGGGTTCAGGTTGATACATTACGTTATTGATGAATTTGCTGGATTAATTAAAAATGAATTATTGTTTCATTAAGTAACTTGCTTAATTAAAAGGAAAATTGCTATTTTAGAATTGAATTCATCAATTCAAGATTGTATTTCTAGAAACATTCAAATAATAGAAACAATTATTTTATATAGATCATCAATTTGGTGGTTTAACAGGGGTCAAGAGCAACAAGTTGTAGTTGAAAATGGGACTGAACGTGCTGAAGGTGGCGAAAGTGAGAGTGAACTAGACCTTCTTGCTGAAGTCGAAACAGAAAGCGATTCTGATGATCAAGACAATGCTGAGTCAGCTCAGCGCAGTGTTCAGACGGGAGCTACACAGGGCTCTGATGCGGGTATTTATAATTATGCCATTAGCTGTTTTTTATTTTCTTCAAAGCTTTTTACAAATCGAAATATTTGGTATCTATGACCTACAAAAGGTTTTTTGTTGAAGAGTTTTGAGTATTAAGTATAATCTAAAATGTACATGATTCATGTTACTATAAAATATTTAAGTGCCTAGATATTATTGCTAACATAATAGCCGATTATTTCGGTTCCTTAAGTTTAAAAGATAGTTTTAAAAACAGGAGGCTAACGATATTATTAAGATAATGATGGGGTCGACGGTAACAGGAATAGCATCGCTGTTACTGTATCCAGAGGAAGAGAGCGGTGACTCGACCCAGCCCGAAGATGAAGACTCTGAGGCCGGTGAGACCGACGAGCAGGACGGCGAACCCGACCCGCCGCTACATAACGGCGAGCCGCTCGAGAGACACGCCGCCCCGCCCGCCAGACCTAACCTCACCTCGCACTCCATGCAATGGGCCATACGGTCAGTCATTCATTTTTTGTTTTTTTTATTGCTTAGATGTGTGGACGAGCTCACACCCTACCTGGTGTTAAGTGGTTACTAGAGCCCTGGACATCTACAACGTAAATGCTTAGGTAGGTCTTAGTATAGTTACAACGGCTGCCCCACCCTTCAAACCGAAACGCATTACTGCTTCAGATCTTACCACCAGTAATTACGCAAATTATAATTTTGCGGGTTTGGTTTTTATTACACGATCTGAACGAATCTGATCTGATTCGTCAAGAACTGTCATGTATTTTATTTACACAACAGTAAATACTTTGAGTTAAACCCACTTGAAAATATTAACACTTAAAACATTAGTAGGGTAATATAAAATTTTCTTGAATATGATTTAACTGCAACAATAAAACATATCTATATTATAAATTGCGTAATTTCGGTACATCATTCTCCTCTTGTATTTTTTTAAAACTGTTTTGTGTTCCGTGTTTTAGTTAAAAGTGTAGTCTGCGGAAGTACAAAGGCGTATGACCAAAAGGCGTCTAGCAAAGTTGCATGTTGCAGAATCAAAATAACATCGAAATAGTTTTCTCATTTTTTTCAATCAATTTAACTACAAAAATGTTTTGTACAGGACCGGAATTATGATTTTAGGATTAACAATTGTTCGCATCATTTCCGTATTAAAGTCATGACATGACGTTTCGTTCTCTCTATTTAGACAGATTACTCATGCATGAGTTTTTAAACTCAATCATCACAAAAATGATATCAAAATCTTGTACCGTTGAATAACCAGGTATTCTTATATTATATTTTACAACGTATTGAATTATGATTTTATCATTATGTTAAAATAATAATTTTTTTCTGTGTTCCGTTTCACGCAGTCGCAACTGTCAAGTTAAATGATATTGTCGATAGACGAACCGGCGGCTGCGACCCACAGCAAGCACCCATACGTTTTTGTGTTTAAAAAGTGTTTTATTACGCCAGGACGTTTATATGTTTTGTTTATGATCTCTTGAGTCTTCTGTAATTTTGTAATCATGTTGATGCTTGAGCCTCTGATAATGAGGAGAAGTCGGTGTGTGAAAACTATGATTAATATGTTTTGTTTGTGCGCTTAACATTATTTATAGGTTATGTCCATTTTGGCCTAATTACTTGAAAACCCGGTTAATTATGGGGAAGCGAACACTTATTCGATAATATATAAAGCGTAGTCTATAACAAATAAAGATTTATTGTGCAACAACTTAAGACGGAATTCCATACATATGTGGTCATTGTCCTTTAAATGTAATAAATGAATTGTAAATATGCTATTATTATCGTGGCAAAGATGATCTTCAACTTCCAAAAAAATGTTTTACAGTTCACGAGAACCTACCCGAGGAACGAGCGGCAGCACGGGAAGCGTACGTCTGACGGGCAACTCATCGCTAGTGTTTATTGATCCGGTGTCTCTGCGTCGTTCCACCGCCGCTGCCGCGGGTGCACATGACCCTCACTCAACATCCACTACTGCTTCTTGCCTCGCCAGAGCTTTCGGTATGTTTATCTGTCTGAGTAGGAACTCATACCACACAAACTAAACATTTGTTAAATAGTGTGTACTATGATGTTATCTACATCTATACTAATATATAAATCTACAGTGGTTTTTACGGATGTTCCGTTATAATTACTGAACCATGCATCCGATTGACTTGAAACTTGGTATCCACATAGAAAATACATGTACTTAATGGAAAGGCTAATATTTATATGAGTGTTGGACTCCCTACAGCAGTTATGGGGGCGTTAATGATGAGAATCTTGTGGGGGTGAGAAATAATAATGATAATTTTAAACAGCTAGTAATAAATATATTTTTATGTTCACTCTAGGTATAGTGATCCGTCAAATCGCCGCCTTGCTTTGGGAATACGAGCGCGTTACTTTACCATTACCCCGCGTGGTTCCACTCGCGTACAGAGAAGGACTGCGCCTACAATGTTATCTTGAGAGACAATTGAAGCCCACCTGGGATTGGCTTGTTACTGTTATGGATGCCACTGAAGCACAACTCCGGTAATATATCATCTAAAAAGAAGATTATCAGTATTATTTATAATTCATAATGTTTATTAAAACGGCTTTGCCAGTAAGGGCCTTTACAACTGCATGTAGTTGAACACTTTGCAGATTTACTAGGACTTTGGTTGTTACCTGAGAAGGCTTCCTTGACTATCTGCAGGCTCTATCTAAGCTCTACTCAATCTGAGTATTGCTATGACTTAATATGTTGCCTGTCCGTGCATTATATATAATGCATTTTTGGTCCAGCTGTGACGTTCGTGCATTATATGTAATGCACGGTATTCTAGCTGACACGTCTGTGCATTAAAACTAATGCATGCATGAAATTCAGTATTTTAGTTGTTTTTGAAAGTGTTTTTTGAAAAGCACTTACATGTACTTCATAAGTACATAAAATGAAATAGTTAAGCCGAAAAAATGGGCGTCACGGGTACTTAACCAAAATACTCTGGACAGGCAACGTGTTAATACAAGCATGTCCTTCTATATGTAGCCTCTCTCTCTCTCTCTCTCTTCGATCGGTTCCTCACTGCTGAGGATCGTGACTCCGTCCGATTTCGTCAACCAACTGTCTCCATCGATCCCGCCCTGCCTATGTAGCCTATTTAAGAATTTTATTACAACTTCCCTGAAGCACGCCAATGTCATCAACTGCTTTCTCAAGTTTGTAGGTGTGAGCTGCTCTATAGTATGGATGAATTGATTCTTAGGTCCACATAACACGGCCATAGTCCGTGTGGAGTTTACCTTAGCTTGTGCCAATCTGATTTCCCTCGGAATCTTGTGTTATCTTGGTAATATTTGTTCTAAGTGCATGGTTTGTTCCACAATTCTATTTTTATTTTCCACCACGTGTTCTATTTCATTCACGATGGCGTGTCTACAAGGGTTTCGGTAACCATATAACGCCGGCTTTTCTTCATATTTCTACTAATGTCGTTTTATATAATTTAAAGTTGTTACTACTACACAGTATATTCAAATAAATGAATGTCTGTAGATTCGGCGCATCCTTAACTTCTAACAATGCGGGCAGTTCAAGCGGCGACACTGGACGTTCGAATACAACCACAACGCGACGGACGACTACATCCCTAGCATCCCTTGCTACTCGTATTATTGGTTTCTCTGAAGGACCGAGAACCAGAGATCGTGAACAAGGTAATTAAATATTTGCAATAAAGAAAAGTGGAGTGATTTTAGCTTCTTTACTTGGTAGTTGTTGCATTTAATATTGTATTGATGCGTCATTAATATCATTGATGTGTGATTAAAATATCTTAATAATGTATCTCATACTCGTTGGATGGAGGATGTACTGGATTATTTGAGTGCTCGTAAACTTATTAAAAGAAGTTATACAAATTATTTATATATTTTTTTTTTATCCTAGGTGTTGAAGCAGGCAGCGCTCGTCGAGAGTTCCTTGCCTATTGCCTATCTCTGCTGAGAGCACACAGCGCGGAACATGCCGAACAACTGCCTGTATTAGATGTAGCAGCTCTTAAACACGTCGCCTATGTCCTTGATGCATTGGTCTACTACATGCGTGCTGCCCAACCTCAGCCCCATCACCATTATCATTTGTGGACGCCGGTAATTTATTTATTTATTTTTATTATATGACGTTGACTCGTGTGCCTACACATTTTTGTTGGGATTGAGAGTGGATACTCGAGTGTTTTTCACACAAAGCTAGTCTGTGCATACGATTTGTAAAGTGCACTTTAATATTGACGGCAATACACGCTGTAGCGCATCTTTAGTGCGCGTTTGAAATACTCTTTCCTCACTGCATTATTTTGAACAGATATTTTTTCCTTTCAATAGTTTTATAATAATGAAAAAAGTAAACATGGTGGAGTAGCATATTGAATGTCAATGCAGGTACGGCAATAATAGGCACTGGGAAGTAATTCACATACATTTTTTATTTGACCCTGAAGACTTTGAAATTAGATGAATTGTACTTACAATGCCAATGTTAATTTAGGTTCAACTAATTTAACTGATAATCGCGCTGTTTTGTAAATGTAATATTTTTTGTAAATGTAATAAATGAGGATCTGCGTAGGTTGGGCGAGTTATTTTATTATGACCCTCGGCGAACACAACATTAATCTTGTTTGCTTTTACTTACATAATTATTTTTAGGATGAAAATGAAAATGAAGAAGGCGATGAGGAGATGGTGGTCGGTAATGGAGCTACTGCCGAATCTGATGGCGAGGGCGATGGGGCACGTGGCCGCGGACATGCCTTCTTTCAGAGATCAGACTCAACACTTTGCCTCGGATGTCCCCCACCTGATCCTTTTAATAGTAAACAGTTCATTTCTATAGAACGAAAGTGCAATAACTCTGAAAATACTTTCATTAGCAGTTGATTCAAAGTATTGTATACATTTTATTGTTGACAAAGACATAGGCAGTCTTCTACATAATAATTAATCACTGCCTGTCAGTGGAGAACATTAGTATCAGGGAGGTACTTTTAAGTACCCAAGCATCGGTCATCGTGCTCATCGAAGCCATCGCTTGCGACGAAGGGCTCAGCAAGTAAATTAACCCACAGACACAGCCCACTGAGTTTCTCGCCGGATCTTCTCAGTGGGTCGCGTTTTCGATCCGGTGGTAGATTCTGCGAAGCACGGCTCTTGCTAGGGTTAGTGTTAGCAATAACGTCAGGTTTGAGCCCCGTGAGCTCACCTACTAGTTAAGGCTACGCTGAAATAGTCTCTCAAGACCATCAGCTTAGGTAGAAAAAAAAAGAGTATCAGAGGCACAGTGGTTGTTGACCAAAAATGTATTTTCAGACTTGTAGCATTATTTATTCAGTTGAAACTATGTAATTTGTACTAAAAACTAGTGGACATCTTACATCTTTGTCAAATAATCTTTGAAGTTATTCTGATGATTTGCAACTGAAGTATGTATATTTTTAAATTAAGGTAAATATAACAACGATTTTATATTTCAGTGAGCATGCAAGAAGCTTTGCCTCTGGCCGATCAGCCTCAGTTGCTTCAACCTAACGCTCGTCGTGAAGAACTGTTTGGTAAGCCTCGGCAGCCGGTAACCGTGCCGCCCGCCGGTGACGCGCCACCGGGGATCAACAATCCACTCGAAGGTGAGAGCCACGTCGGTACGAATAAACTGTAATATAAACTAAACAAGATCGTTTTTTCACTAATTTTCACGAAAGCGATAATGTTGACCAATACAGATTCACTAATGTTATAGTACTGAATGACGAATGTCTGTATGTTGAATAGTATCCGATTAATTTTTTTTATTGCATAGATGGGTAGACGAACTCACAACCCACCTGGTGTTAAGTGGTTACCGGAGCCCATAGACATTTACAACATAAATGCCGCCACCCACCTTGAGATATGAGTTCTAAGGTCTCAGTATACTACAACGGCTGCCCCACCCTTCAAACCGAAACGGATTAAAGTACTGCTTCACGACAGAAATACGCAGGATGGCTTATTATAATTTATTTATTATTATTAATTTAGCGGGTTTGAATTTTGTTACACGATGCTATTTCTTCACCGTGGAAGTCATTCGTGAACATTTAATAAGTACGTATTTCATTAGAAAAATTGGTACCCGCCTGCGGGATTCGAAAACCGGCGCATCGCTACACACAAATGCACCGGACGACTTATCCTTTAGGCCGCGACGACTTAAACGAGATAATATTATATGAATGTAATGCAATGAACTATTTGGGGTACTTTAAATACTGCAGTTCTGGAACAAGTTGCAATAATTTCGTAATGATGCAAGAAAATTCTCAGCCCTAACTTATGAATTTAATTAAGAATGCTTAAATACCCTAATCACATTTTTTTTTCGTTTGGGTTTACAGTTTTATGTATACTTAATTCCTCATTATTATACTAATGATCATTAAATAAATCTGATATAATGAAAATTTTCTAACAGTAGTTCCACGCCGTTTGGGATTGTCAACTCGAGGTAGTGACCGCGGCTGGTCGCCGCCCGCGCGCCCCGCCTCTGCCCCTCCTGCGCACACGCACACAATCACTAGAGATGAACCACAGGTTAGAACCATCTTACAGCTCGATACAGAAAAACACTTATCTATATAACTATTTATCAGTTTTAAATAGGTATCTTCACTATAATGACTTGTCTTCGGCGTATTGAAATATGAATGAATGAAGAATTGTCGTGTGATGATGGTTTTAACTTAATTTGATAGACAAAGAAATATCGTTTCATATTCAGAAAACGATTTTAATATTCTCACCCAGGTTTAAGAGAAATCTGTTTTTTCTGCAGCTAAAATTAAGTTGTTAATTGTTTTCTTCGAAATCAATAATCGCTCTCATCATTATTTACAGTCTTAAATAAGTTAATTGTGGTTAATGTTGCTAGAAATAAGCCCTTACGTATATTTTATTATTATTATATCCTCATAATAATAATAAAATGAAATGAAAATCCGGAAGCCGGCAACGATATTGTTGTTGTTGTTTTTAAATTCGCCAATAATTAGGCAAAGAGCGTAGCCTATACAGCCTAGTCTGTCGTAGATCTCTTTTTATTGCTTTTTGGGAGTTTTGACGTCAACTCGATGAATAGCACATTGAGTGAGCGTGAATTTCCGCAGACCTTTTATGCTATGTTAGCCACAGTTTTATTCCAATGCCTCAATAATCGTGAACAACGATTATTGACGTTTAATACACAAAACAACACCCAATTTGTATATTATACATCGCAATAAACTATTAAAAAAACATTAAAATAAAACTTCAAGTGACGCTTCACTCGGGTTTCTGCCAAAACTCTTTGATCATATATAATAAGAATAGAGTAATGGTAGCCCATTGAGATTTTTACTAATGGAATCATTAATATCTAGAAATATTATATATATAATTCATGGTTTTAAGTAATAATTATTATTACAATATATAAATATTGAATTGAACAAAAATAAAATAAAAAGTCTGTGAATTATAACCATTAGCAAATTTTTTTTTTATTTGTTGTTCAAGTCACAGACAACTCTTTCGTTTGGCAGCATATAGGTTTACTATAAGGCTGTATGGGCTAAGCCCTTTGCCTATTGGCGAATTTAAAAACTATGGCACTCAGTTTTGGGATGTTATCAAATAATTAATTTATATTTTTGTAAAACAATGCCAGGGTAAAAGAAATGTTGATACATAAACTAAACAACGTGAAAAAATAAGGCATAATTTTTCAAGTACAAATAGTTTAGACATGAAGTTGGCCCACTTTTGGGCATTGTCCTTTTAAGCTTTAAGTAGCTCCACTATAAAGTTGCAAAAATATCGCTAAATAGCCTTTCACCCCTCGATTTGTTTTCTACGTGTTATTGCATCAAATATCAGTATCGATTAATCTAACAATTTGAATTAGTAGTTAGTAATATTGCCCAGAAAATATTAAACTTCCTGAGTTTTACAATGAGGAAGTAAATATGCTGCTAACATTATTCATAAATATTATGTCAGTGTATAATAATTTTTTCTATGTACAATGAAAAACTAGTAATTTTTTTAGGATTTATCTTGCGCCAATAAGGACCCAGCAACGAAAATGGATGTAGATACCGATGGTGAATATATGTCGGATTCCGACTCTAACGAAGGAAGACAGATACCGAGGAAGAAACACCACAGGTAAAATCTTTATGATTTTTTTTAAAGTTATGCATTATTAGTTTCAATTTCGACGAAATGAATTTTGAGCATGGCGACACTGTCGATCTATTTTCATCATATTGATACAAATCGCAATGTTGTTGCATTGTACCATATCACATCAATATAATTAAATCTGATAGTTTCTTCAGTTTTAGAATGTGTATTCCATGAAAAAATAAAAATAATAACAAAGGTGTTCTGGAGAAACAATTATTTATAGTAAAATAATATATCCACAGACATCCACACTCTACTACTATTCCTGGAAGCAATTCTATGCAAGAGCCTGTCGTGCAGCCTTCAGAGTTTCATGCCCTAGTCGATACTGCCTGCTCGATGATGGAAGCTCCACACCAACGAACTGTTGCCACTTCACCCACTCCTGGTAATTTTTTATAGAATTCCTGTGTTTTAGTATAATATATGCGTTAACAGTATAATATATACTTGAAATTAAATATAAACACCATAAAATCAGTAATATTTTCTTTTGTAAATTCAGGGCCAAGTACCTCCACAGGCACATCTACCGAACCTCGAGCCTCAACTTCGCGAAGCCCTGGCAAGACTGTTATTGTACGTGCTGTAAGTCACTCCACTTATTTGGGGGACTTTTTCTTACGAAAATTATAAGCCATTAGTAACCTTTCCTTTCACTGTCCTTGAAATTGTTGTCTTCCCCAAATTATCTTTTATTAAATTAAAATAAAAAAATGGGTCAAATTTGGGTAGCAATAAAGTTTTCAATACTAATTTTTTTTATAGGGGGAATTACTGAGTGCTGCAGATCCACTGGAATCTCAAGAGATATCGGCGCATGTCACGGTAGAAACTACGGGATTGCCTCTGCAACCTGTATTACCAACACTCAATGCTCAAAATCAACCGTGAGTAAAAAGTCCCATATTCGTGATTAATCATAAAACTTATAAAAGTAAATATTGATATACTTTGTCACTATTCATGGACCTTAATCATGCTGTAAAAGTTTATCAAATGTATGTCAGATGATAAAAGGCAAGAAATCAATAAAAACCGTTATTTTTCCACAACCAAGAACAGATAAAATACAAAATTGTTTATTAATTTTTAGACGAGCGTGTCCCTCTCTGGGTGCATCAGTTTCCCACGATCTTTTGCTTGGCCGTTGGAGGCTGTCTCTCGATTTATTTGGTCGAGTTTTTACCGAAGACGTTGGTTTGGAACCTGGATCCGTTGTAGCTGAACTAGGCGGGTTCAGAGTAAAGGAGGTGAAGTTTAGACATGATATGGAAAAGCTTAGAAATTCACAGCAGAAAGACTTGACTCTGCACAAGGTATGTAATATTTTTTTAAAATAGCTTAAAAAATATGTTTTATTGTCTATTCACTCTTTAACAATAATAAGTTGCTATAATAAGTAACAGAAATCTTCTAAATTACTTGTGTTCACTAAGCCGGTATAACACTTGCACAACGACGATGATTATCGTCCGTAGGAGTTAGTTAGAAATAGGTTCGATGACCGGGTGTGAGTTCGAGTTTTAGATCTACCCTCGTCAAAAAAGAACCAGTTAGATTATTTCCTAAAATACCGCTTTTTTTATTTTTTTCACAGATGGAACGTGACCGTTCAAAACTCTTACAACAAACGTTCGCGGAGCTGAATGGTGCGTTTGCCGGACAGAATAGACGAGCACATAGCGCACAACCTCCACTGGCTGTAAATCGCGTCAAGGTTACGTTCCGAGATGAACCCGGTGAAGGAAGCGGCGTCGCAAGATCCTTCTACACTAGTGTAGCAGAGGTACCCATTATATCGATACAAAATGAAATTTTAACTATACATAATATGATTATTCTTAATAGGGTTGTTCATTGGTGGTTTATTTATGAAAATTAACAAACCATGTGAAAAATGTGTTTTGAAGGAATAATTTGAGTCAGCTAGTAGGTTCAAACAAAAACATTGAAGTTTCCCACAACAAAGTAGTATAGAATTTTTACTACCCACACTGACGACATCTTGTTTATAAGTTATTCACTCTTGTCTATTTATAAGCTAAAATTCACAAGACTATAGTTTCAGTCACTATTGGATTAGTCATAAAAGAACAACACCCAAATGATCTCATTATAATCATATAAAGTACACTAAAATTAAATCAATTATTGTTTTTTAGGCTTTACTTGCAAATGAAAAACTGCCTCCCCTTGAATCCGCAACTGGCAACAATAGCACAAATAGCAGTACTAATGGAACATCTGGGCCTTCTGGCAATGCCGCTGGTGGCACTGGGAGCAGCAGCGGCGCACGGTGAGTTGTGATTAAAAGCTGATTTCCAACCCATCATTATCATAAATTATAATAATTTTTTTAAACTTGCTGGGACTAATTCCTATAAATTGCTTCTTCTTGGGTATTGTGAAAAAGCATTACATATAAACAACACTTTAATATCTACACACTCCTGAAATGTTAAGTCACAATGGATTATACATTAATTTTACAATATGTCATAGATATAATAGTATGTATGTATGTATTTATAGATAAATAATTGGGGATAAATCATGCACGCTCGTCTGAACCCACATTAGGATTGCCTGTCTAATATATACATACTCGTACACGAATAATTGCCCAATGCGGGAATCGAACCTTCCCTCTAAGCCTGCAGCCGGGGGCGCTAACTACTGTGACAAGGAGTCAGTCATATATGTACATATTACTCTTTCAAGAAAGTTTCCGGGAAAAGATAAATACATAGTACACAAAATGTTCAGAAACTATAAACTTACACCAACGAATAAACCAACCATGAAAACATTTTTAAACGCTTGTTCCGGAATTGACTTTAGTTTTCGCCGAGAATTCACCTTTATGTATTCCACTGAATAAAAACTGTTGCCATGAAGTTGTAATTTGAGTGTAGAAAGTTGGGAGAGAAAGTGAGTTTTTTAAGGTGGTTCCTAATGATATTTATGAGCTTTTGGTCAAAAATTCGTTCACAATGATGGCCTTGTGCGAAGGCGCATAAAAGTGGTGCAAAATCCAAGAATTTTCTTTCAACCAACCTGACCGTTTTCGTAGTATTCTTAAACGCCGCATAATGCCCAAATAGTATTCTGCAAGGAATATTTACCGTTTGACCTTCCGACAAGAATTCCCAATTCCAAAATGGAAAACAGTGCCAAATAGTTCCTATCTTACTCCCGATACTTTTTTGACTGAATGTATGTATATTATTATTTCATGGGAAGTATTCTTCGTAAAAGCAAAGAGGAATTTCGACAAATTTTGAGACCAATGATATCACAGCGTGAATGCCATCAACATTGAGACATGAGGTCGAAGTCTCAATTCTATAACGGCAGTTTCGCCCTTCCAACTGTAATTCATTGTTTCGTGGTAGAAGTGATGATACTAGCCCATACCTTGGAATAAGAAGTTTGTGGGTTTCAGTATCCACGAGGTACTAGATGAACCGTCGTTTCGTCTTCCCAATATGACACGTATATTTTCGTAGATGAGCTTCCGACGAAATGGATTACTTATTAGATTAATTACTTAGTACTATTATAATTGTGAAAATTCGCTATTTTGTGTATGTATACAGGAGCGGTGCAGGACGTGCGCGTTCAAAGGAAGCAACGCGTCGTGCGGCCGGCCGTCCCGCGCCGCGCCCTGCGGCCTCCCGGGAGCCGCGACGTGTGCTCAGTGTTGATGCACGACCATACTCTCCCCAGGTATGTTACAACATTATACAACTTCTCTATCATCATAAGGATAGGATTTGAAATATGAAAAAAAAAAACATTTTTAAAGAATACCATATACAGGGTGTCCCACAACCACTATGTCGAGCGTGACGTGACTATAGTATAGTAACCGGCAAACTTCTTGAGCAAATGACCTTGACTGCGCAGAACCGAATTTTAGATCACTTTGGTGGTGAGGGTGAGGCGCGACGGCAGGGGAAATCGTATCGAGCGCGTTATTGGTAGATCAGTCGAACCTTGCGTCCCGCACCGCGCCCTCTTTCCGCTTGCTCCCAAAAGTAAAAAGTCTGTCGTTATTAATTGTTACGTTATTTGTTATAATTGCTTGTTGACTTTGTTGCCATTGCTATATGTTGAGTGTTTGTTGATTTTTTATAAAAAATACACTATGCCGCGACAAACTGGTGTAGTATTCAAAAGAAAGGGTAGAAAAATTGTGTACGACGTATATTGCTTCATTATAAAACAGGGGAAGAATGATATGGAAAAAGTAAAACAGACTTCGGAAGCAAGAAATACATCAGTGAGTACTGTTAGGTGCATTATTAACGAAGCTAAAGGCTCTCGCCGTGTTTCGGACTCCGGGTAAGAAAAGATCAGGGAAGAAGAAAGTTACCGGAATGGATAGTTTCGTTCAATCTGTAATAAAAAGATGTAATCATAATAACTACATAACAAGCAGCGAAACTCCGTATCGTAGAAAGGCTTCCAAAAATTTAAAGAAGAAATAAATATTAATGGCTCGGAATGAAGCTTACGACGAATTATGAAAGAGTTAGGCTTCAGATGGAAAAAAAACAGAAAGTAATCGGAAGCTGGTAATTGAAAAAAGTAACATTCGATTACTACGAATCGAATATCTTCAAAAAATAATTAATTATAGACAAAAAAGAAGACCGAACCGACCGAATTGTAAACTACACCGATGAGCCCTATGTCGACTCATCACGATGATAGCGACTCGGGTGATGAAAACAGTGATGATGATGATGGTCAAGCTTATGATAACGAAAAAAAAATATACAAATACCAGCTTCGCTTCAACTGAACGAAGACCTGGCAACAGCTCTAATTTTGACTTAATAGAAGAAATATCTATTTTGCCCCAAGATTAAATTATTACAATTATTAACCTATATTTTTTGTTGATGTTCTAATAAATATATAAATAAATACATAATATGTTGATTTTAATAATTTAATAGCATTATGACGCAGAGTAAATAATGTTTTTGCACGTGAGTGTACCATGCGCAAACTTACCCCCACTACGTCGACAAATGCTCAAGAAGTTTGCCGGCTATTATANCAAGATTAAATTATTACAATTATTAACCTATATTTTTTGTTGATGTTCTAATAAATATATAAATAAATACATAATATGTTGATTTTAATAATTTAATAGCATTATGACGCAGAGTAAATAATGTTTTTGCACGTGAGTGTACCATGCGCAAACTTACCCCCACTACGTCGACAAATGCTCAAGAAGTTTGCCGGCTATTATACCAACCATGTGGATCATTTTAAAACTTCTCTATCATATTAAGGATAATAACATTTGAGATATAAAAAAAACCATTCAAAGAATACCATATACGAGTCGACTATTATCAAAGGCGGCAATCTGACTTTTGGACAATGATTGGTAAATCAGAAAAACGAATTATTGACTTTGTATTCCATTGGCAGTCACAAAACTCTTCGGAACGACATCTTAGATAAATAACAGGTTAACTATTAACCTTTATTTAATGCAGGTTTTCAACCGTATTCTTTGAAGGAGACGATTATATTCAAATAAATCTGTATTGACATATCAATAAATTTTTTTTGTCCAAATGTACAGATTGCCACCTTTGATAATAGACGACTCATACAGGGTGTCCCACAACGGGTATGTCAAGCGTGACATGACTATAGTACAACCATGTTGATCACGTTAATAATGTTAAAAAAATCTAAGTCTTAATAAGTAGTTTCATAGAAAAACTTTATGGTCATATTATGTACATAAAACTAGGTGAGATAAAAAAAATCAAGCTATCACTGATGTAACCTCCACCTAGAAGATACACATTATTAATTACGTGCCAATATACATCAAGTATAATGTAGTGGCTAATCCTTATTAATGATAAATTCGACCAGTAACATAAAATAAACACACACACACACGCACGCACACACACACACACACACACACACACACACACACACACACACACACACACACACACACGCACACGCACGCACGCACACACACACACACACACACACACGCACACGCACGCACGTACGTACTATATTCTTACAGATCGTTCTTCCTGGTTAACTTTCTTTACCTGGTGACCTAGCACTGAACCACTGACTTTTGTAACACAGGTTTTCCTAGCATAAAAGTCAGGGAATATTGTTATTGTATACCTCATAAAAAAGCCATGTATATTATTATACTAGTGTTAAGAATTTTTGCACGTGTTTGTATTTTAAGAGGCTTGAATAAATTTTATTAAAAAAAAATAAAAAAATTACAGGCTTTTTTCACAATTGGCAGGTTCACAAACTGTCTCTTGAATTTTATTGATTATGATAATCAATAACTAATTCAAGCACTGCAGTGCAGAAAACACAACAGTAATCTAGGGTTAATGTTCTCTTTTTAAGCTATAATTCCTTTTTAGGCTGCTCCCGGAACCGAAGGAGCTGGATACAGTGGAGAAAGATCTGGAGGACACAATGAACATCTTACACATCACCAGGCTCAATTGGGAGAACGCCTATATCCAAGGGTAAGCAATTTTTTTAGCATAGATAAGTTCACGACCCACCATGTATTAAGTGATCACCACAGCTTAACATAAAAACCAGGACTCGTCTGCTGGTTTAATTTCGAATTTTTTAGTTCATTTTTTTTTATTGCTTATATGGGTGGACGAGCTCAGAGCCCACCTTGGTTACTGGAGCCCATAGACATCTACAACGTAAATGCGCCACCCGCCTTGAGATATAAGTTCTAAGGTCTCAAGTATAGTTACAACGGCTGCCCCACCCTTCAAAGCGAAACGCATTAGGTACTGCTTCACGGCAGAAATAGGCAGGGCGGTGGTATTTACCCGTGCGGACTCAAAAGAGGTCCTACCAGTCAAAGCTTAGATTCATTTTATGGTTTATAGAAAGGTGAGAAATAAACTGTTTCCGTAGCACATTTATAGCTACTAAAAATAAAATAATAAAGGGGGTTGACAAACATATTTTTCGTTTATTGATAGTATTTCTTTCTTTCAGGTACACTCTCTACACCCAACATTTGCTGGAAAAATAACAGGTATGCTGTTAGAATTGACACCTGCGCAACTTCTGGTACTGCTGGCCAGCGAAGATGCTTTGCGACAGAAAGTACGCGAAGCCATGGATCTCATCGTAATGCACCCTTCAGAGGCAATATTAGGTACGAAAATAAAATTTAATGAATGTTTGTCATCTAGCCGCAAAGTAAATCAAATTACAGGTGAAATGTAGTGGTAATCTAATAACAGATTATGCCGTATCCACACATTCTATGGACTTGAGCAGAATGAATCATATCCTAATTACATGTTATTTGCCTCTTTTTTGTTATGTATACTCCATCAGCTTTAAGCAGATCTGTGAGGGCAGCTTCTCAACAGTAGGTCAAAATGTGCCTCTTTATACAAAAAATCTTACTGTAGTTTGTATTTACGGTTTGGTCATCTTCCTTTTCAAATGTATATAAACAGATCTAGATGTATTCTCACTATCCGAACGAGGCGGCGGATCTGGTAGCGGGTCCAGCGCAAACGGAGCTGCTCCAATCACTGACGACGCCGCCCCTCTGTTCTACTCGCCCGGGAAACGGGGTTACTACTCACCTAGACAAGGACGCGCCGCTCCAGAAAGAATAAATGCTTTTAGAAATGTTGGAAGGTAATAAATAATAACATTAAGAAAGTAATACGAGACAGTTGTTTCCTTACATAAATGCTTAATGTTTTTTTTTTTTGTTTTAGAATCATTGGACTTTGTCTCTTGCAAAATGAGCTGTGCCCCATGTTCTTAAATCGGCATGTTTTAAAATACATCCTCGGGCGGCCAATTCGATTCCACGATTTGGCATTCTTCGATCCAATCGTATATGAGAGCCTGCGACAACTTGTAGTCGATGCTGAAACTGGGGATTCTCAGTCACTTTTCGCAGCTCTAGATCTCAACTTTAGGTAAGTAGCTTTTATGAACTATTCTATAAGAGAAATTAAAAAATAATTATTATTTGTTTAATTGATTACAATTTGCTTTATAGTTTGGAAATGTGCGAAGAGGAAGGTGGTGGCTGTGTAGAACTCATACCGGGCGGACGAGAACTTGAAGTAACTGCGCACAATGTTTATGATTATGTACGCAAATATTCCCAACATAGAATGTTGATTTCTCAAGAAAAGGCTCTTGAAGTAAGTAATATACAATTAACTTGTGTGGTTTCACCTTGTCATGTTATTCAATACTCAACGTATTTCTGTTTTATATAGGCAATGCGAGTTGGGGTTCTTGACGTGTTACCAGAATCTGCGCTAGAAGGTTTGACGGCGGAGGATTTACGTCTACTGCTGAATGGAGTTGGAGATATAAATGTAGCAGCTCTAGTTTCTTACACTAGTTTCAATGATGAGAGTGGCGAACAGCCAGAGCGGCTGGCTCGTTTTAAACGTTGGCTATGGGCTATAGTTGATAAAATGACACATTTAGAAAGACAAGATTTAGTAAGTAATATTTTCATATTTTTTTAACACCACCTACGTGTTTTAAATAATAAATTAATTCAAAATAGTTTCAAATTGATTTTAATGCGTTGTTTGTTATTAATTACGAAAGTTATTTTTCGTGTAATAATAGAACACAAATGCACATTTAATTGATTTGTGTAAGGGAGCTCTAAAAATCGCGTTCAAGTAATTATATTGTATTATGTAAATATGTTTTTAATACGCATAATGACGTCTCGGGAGATTCGGATGGAGCGCCGACACGCGTTTAGCTTTAGAGAAAATGTTCATGAACTAAACAATGGGTTTATTGTCTGGTTATGTCAAAGACCTATATTCAAAAGTTGGTGTCGGCAACAATACGCAATACTTTGAAGTCGTCGTGGCCTAAAGGATGAGACGTCCGGTGCATTCGTATCTAGCGATGCACCGGTGTTCGAATCCCGCAGGCGGGTACAAATTTTTCTAATGAAATACGTACTTAACAAATGTTCACGATTGACTTCCACGGTGAAGGAATAACATCGTGTAATAAAAATCAAACCCGCAAAATTATAATTTGCGTAATTACTGGTGGTAAGACTTCTTGTGAGTCCGCACGGGTAGGTACCACCGCCCCGCCTATTTCTGCCGTGAAGCAGTAATGCGTTTCGGTTTGAAGGGTGAGGCAGCCGTTGTAACTATACTGAGACCTTAGAACTTATATCTCAAGGTGTGTGGCGCATTTACGCTGTAGATGTCTATGGGCTCCAGTAACCACTTAACACCAGGTGGGCTGTGAGCTCGTCCACACATCTAAGCAATAAAAAAATAAAAAAATTTAGCGCGCTGCGAAGCGGTATCATTAATTAATACCTAGGGTTGCTGTACCATGGAATGCTAGTAAAATAGTAATTTAGATAAGTATTTTAATTTTTGATTATTCGAAAGCTTTTCGTATTTAATTTGGATTTATTCTATTTTAGGTATATTTTTGGACTGGATCGCCAGCCTTGCCTGCTTCTGAAGAAGGTTTCCAACCAATGCCATCAGTTACTATACGACCAGCTGACGATGCGCATCTCCCCACTGCTAACACATGCATTTCGCGGTTGTACATACCATTGTATTCTTCGAGACATGTTCTCAAACATAAACTACTTTTAGCTATCAAAACTAAAAACTTTGGCTTTGTGTAGTTTAGTTGCCAAATTATTTAATTTATTAGTGTTATAATCCCAGTCATGGAAGACTGCCGATGTGCTATTTATGTATGACATAATAAAATAGGTCCTACGTTTTACAATGTATTAGTAACACCTTTTTTTTCTCAAATAAAATAATCATCTATCTGACAATCTGTATAATTTTAATTTTATACTTTCAATTAGCCTGTCTATAGAGGTCACTGAAAATCATTTTAGTATATGCATAGATTTGTATATCAATATTCTTATTATTCTTCTTACCGACTTTAACATGACTGGGTTTCTGACTGAATAGTAATATTCAAAATTTAACAACAACTGAAAGGTCCGAAGATAATACCCGGACAAGCACATGTTTAAAAATTTAACATTGTAGACTGTAGGTATTTAACTTATAAAAAAAATTACAGCTAGATCTTTGTTCAAAAACTATTGTAAATTTTGTTCCCATGTTTTGTCGTAAGGCCTAACATATTTTTGCATTTAGTTGCTTTCCTTGTTACAATAATTATTGTCTAGCAAGGCAGTGCAACTAACAATAAAATTGTAACTAGCTTCATTATTAGTATTGAATATATACTAAGGTAGTAAGAATATAATAGTGGGTATACTGCTACAACTGATTGGGTGTGCTTGGTTCAGAGGCATAAGATCCGAGCGATTATGGTTTTGTGATATCAGAGGAAATTTATGCGCCTCACTCTCTAAAAATAAATATTAAGATTAGATTTTTTCCTTTGATTAGTTGTATTCATAATAAACAATCTCAAAACGGCTTACGATACTCTTTTATTACAACCTCTAAGAAGTAAAAATTAAAAAGCTTTAATGAAATTTATTTAATAACAGTGTAGAATACATTATGTATGTGTATCTAGATGAAATAAAACAAATTTAATCTAGTTTTGCTACAGTTTTCAATTCATTTGACATTTTTTTATAAACACCATACAATATAGCCACATGGCAAATGTGTAGTGTAACACTTGAGAATATTGTACTTGGATATGTATTCCAACACATTTCAACTAAAGCCAGTAGTAGGAATCTGAAAATAGTTGAAAAATTATTGGACCAAAGAATATATGGCAAACTGTGAAAATACCACGAATAGAACTGATAATGTAGGCTTCTTGCACACACAACACCAATAAAATTTACAATAAACATTGGAAGGATAAACAACTGAGTTAAAATATCAAAGTCTATACTGTAATCACTTGTTTCTGTTGGTTTGCTAACTGGTTGCTTTACAGATTTTCTTGAAGATTTTTTTAACATTGCTTCAAATGACGTTAAGAATTCTTCTTGTTCTTTTGTGATTACCTCCTTTTCATTTATTTTCTTTCCTGTTTTTAGTTTTGTTTCCATTTTCAATTTCTTTTTCTTTTCATGATTTTTCGCATCTATCTGAGGTTGTACTTGTTTTTGAACATAACGAAGACGACAATAGCTTTGAAAATATTTTACACACATAGGTATAAACACAACCAATAATAAAACATGTATTAATAACAAAGACAAATGAAAAAATTTATTTTCAAATATTTCACTATCTAGAAATCTGTAGTTCACTGTCCAAGTATGATTAAAGACACGTCCAATGTCAAAACTACCTTTTATATATGAAACAGGATTGCTGATTAAAAAAGGTAAACCTAATAAAACTTGCACAGAACCACAGATCAAAAGTTGAACTAAAGTTAGCTTTAAGCCTAAATTAACTAAATAAAAGAAAAACAATGCAGGAGCATACAAAAGTATATTCATTTTAACAGAAACACCCAGGCTGTAGAATAAGCTTCCTAAAAACCATTTGGATTCTAAAAAGAAATTCAATGATACATATAACAACAGTACTGCAATTGGATCATTAAAAAGTCTCAGCACATAAATAGAATGTATTCTATAAGATGTTAATATAACTAAAATTAGAACATATGGAGGCACTTTTTTGGCTTTTAAATAAATTCTGAAAACTAAAGTTAATTGTAATAAGTAAATACCTATAAATATATATTGAGCAAGTTTTATATTTTCTCCTTGATTTGTGATTAAATAAAGAAAAGAGTAAATATACACAAAGCCTGCTGGGTACACGAGCGGGCCAGTGTCACCACGAAGCTTGCTATAATCTAGAGTACCATTTAAAAATCCTTCACATTCTTGCATATAAGCTTTCCAATCTATTTCAGTGTACGGCACCTTTTCCACGATCAATATATTAAGCACTAGTTCGGTCACTATTATCAGTAACGACACCAATAAAAGTTGCGATGGATTTAGTAGCAAATTCTTGAAGTAGCACCAAGTGAAGATTTTTTTAAACATTTCTTTCAATTTTGTCTTACTATTTCCCATGCTGAGCCGTTATCACTCTTCTATTTGTAATTAAGAAAAATAGTGTTATAATATTAAAGCCCTGTTCTGAAACTTTATTTTTTCTATTTTAAGATGAGGTCGGCGCCCGGACCAAACCATTAAATTAATCTGTGGCCCGGGCCCCGGACCATAGATTATACACATAATACAGTGTGATTCTTTATAATGTGCACATATCGAAATGAGGGAATCTATGCTTAATTTTACCGACGGAAAAATATTTAAAATATGCAAAAATTTTGTTTTTTATTTTTTTATGGATTTTTTAAAATATTTGTTCACTACTGTGACTCCGGTGTAAACAAAACGGTGTAACTTTTGAACTAAATGATCTATCGCGGGTAAAAAATTCCGTAATGATTGGAAGTATTTAGGCGTCCTCATGAAATGAAAAAGTGAGAGAAAACCTCCCCTCAATTGAAAATAAACACGTTTTTTTTAGCATAAATCTGTTATTTTTTCATAAATTTTTACAACAATCCTAAAATTTCTCAAAAAGATGCCCCCTTTACCTACTTTTTTATTACTTAAAGTTATTCTATATCGTATTAGCTACCCATTAGTAAAAAAATCATGCTTATAAATCTAACATAACATTTTCTATTAAGTGTGCCATCTGCCCGCAACCTCCAGGAAGTTCACAGAAGGTTGTCGATCACTGAACTTGGATCAAGTAGAGAACGTCGCGAGCCGCCTCAAGTAGTTATTGATGTGACTTTTGAAAAAGCAGTAATTAGTGATTTGTTTGCTGATTCATCCACAAGTACTAGAAGATTGGCTTTCGTTACGGAATATCCCAAAAATCAGCGTGGCTCATTTCAAAGAAAGAAGGATTGCTGAATTGATTGATTAAATCACCTCCCATCACTATAACATCTACATGAAGACGTAGACTGCTGGCCAAGGTCTGTGATGTCCACTTGGATCCAACGAAAACCCAAATTTTTTAAAAACTACTATGGATGGATGAAGCTACATTCACCAGAGACGGTATTACTAACTGTCGAAATTTACACAAATAGTGCCATGCAGGTGAAAACCCGAAATTAAAACGTTCATTGACTTTTCAAGTAAATGTTTGGGCTGGTCTTCTCGATGACAAGTTGATTGGACCAGTTATATTGCCGAGAACTTTGATCGGTGAAAGATTTCTAAGTCTATTGATTCATGAACTTACGGTTTCATAGATCCCCTAACACTTCAAAGATACAGCCACTTCGTGCGCGAAGTCGGTCTCGTGGACGATAGAGTCGCTGATTCTATCTGTCTGCGCCTGCGCGTTCACCCGATTTGACGCCCCATGATTACTTCCTTGGGGGACCATGAAGCAACATATCTACAGTACCCCTATCAACAATGAGGCAGATTTGCATGACTTATAATAACTGTGGGAATGATATTCGCAATAATCCTGAAATAATAAGGAGAGCGACACAACAAATTTTAATTCGCGCGGCTTTGTGCCTACAACCACCTCTTTGATGGACATTTTGAGAATCACATGCATTAAATTTTGTGTAAAATAATAAATGGTTTTAATTGAACTCTTTTGTACTAACTATCATACCAAATAAACCATCCTTAGGAAAACAATAAATAGCACATTCGGATTGCCATCTTTTAACACTTAATAGAAAATGTTATATTTGAGTATAAACATGAAATTTTTACTAATGGGTAGCTGATACGATGTAAAATAACTTTAAGTAATAAAAAAGTAGGTAAAGGGCCCGTCTGTTTAAGAAATTTTAGGATTGTTGTAAAAATTGATGAAAAAATAACAGATTTATGCTAAAAAACGTGTTTATTTTCAATGGAGGGGAGATTTTCTCCTACTTTTTCATTTCATGAGGACGCTTAAATACTTCGAATCATTATGGAATTTGTTTGACCGCGATAGATCATTTAGTTCAAAAGTTACAGCGTTTTGTTTACACCGGAGTCACAGTAGTGAACAAAAATTTAAGAAAAAACAAAAAATAAAAAATTTTTTTTTAGCATTTTTAAATATTTTTTGCTCGATAAAATTAAGCATAGATTCCCTCATTTTGATATGTGCGTATTTTAAAGAAGCACACTGTATATGCCCGGACCATGAACAGGGTAGCCAGATTTTTTTTTACTGAAGTACCAAGTTACGGCGCTGTGTAAGCTGTGTTCCTTAAGATCGTAATGTGGCGCTATAGTACGTCAAGTAAGCGCCAATATTTAAATGAAATATCCGTGTACATAAATTTTTATTTCTTTTATTTAAAATTTAAATAATATTAATAATAATTTTATTTGTCAATTTTTAATAACAATTTAGGATTTAAATATATTTATTTTAATTTTGAAATAGAATTATTATTATTATCATTATTCAAACGATCAACAAAAATAAATATTATTTAAATAATAATAAAATTTTAATGTATTTCTTTTATTATTAAAAAGTTTAAAAATAAACAACAGTTTTATAATTAATCAATATTAAATATTTTATTAATTGAGCAAAGTAGTAACATTAGTCTAGATTAAAAGTACTGATAAATAATTGATATAAAATTTTATATATTAATTAATATACTATAGACACAGCCATGTTATTACATATCTTGAATTTTTTGAAGAAAAAATTACCTATGGTTAACCTATACAAAATATTCGAAGAACTCAGTCGAATCAAATTTGACAATATAGTACATTGTGCACCAAGGGAGAAGAGTAGGACATTTCCTCCCGCGTATAAAATTGCAACTTAAGGGTGATCATTGGTTTAATTAATTATAAATAAATAAAAGACGAACACACAATTTTTACATTCGAATATTAACGAACAAACGACGAACAAATAATTAAAAATAAAAAAAAATCCGAAAATCAAAAAAAAGGGGGCCAAATTCAGTGAGCCTCTTGTCACTTCTGTATGAAAACCGGGAAATAAAATCGTAAAAAAAGCATGAACAGTGTCAAAATTGTCAAAACATGTACAGTGTTTATAATAATTACTTGAATTTATCAGTTATGCATACATATTACTAAAATACACAGTTTCAAAAGTTTCATAGAATAGGAATGGATGGAAAAATGTTAAATTTGTAAAAAAAGTATGTTTTTTTGAAAAATCAAAATATACCAAATTTTAATAATTATTGTGTTTTGCCTTTGAAGAAATGGCTGGAAATTTTTGGCAAAGCTCACATCATCAACAATGGATACTCGATAAGCAAGAGCTAAGGCGCGATCGCCAGTTTGATTTGAATATTTTATCAGAAGAAGAATACCAAAAAGTATTTAATTTTTTTGCTAGTATAATTCAAGTTTTAGGCGAACAACTTAAACTTCGTCAGCAAGTAATCGCAACTGCAACAGTTTACTTTAAAAGATTTTATGCAAGGAACTCTTTGAAGTGTATTGATCCACTTCTTTTGGCACCAACATGCGTATTTCTTGCATCTAAAGTTGAAGAATTTGGTGTTATATCCAATTCCAGATTAATAACAACCTGCCAGACAGTTATAAAAAATAAGTTTAGTTATGCTTATGGACAACAAGAGTTCCCGTACAGGACAAATCACATTCTGGAGTGTGAATTTTATTTACTAGAAAATTTAGATTGTTGTTTAATTGTATACCAACCATATAGACCATTACTACTTTTTGTCCAAGACATAGGACAAGATGATCAACTTCTGACATACGCTTGGAGAATAGTAAATGATTCCTTGAGAACAGATGTTAGTTTGTTGTACCCACCCTATCAGGTATGATTTATGTAATGCAAATAGTCACATTTCATTTTTTATTCATAAAACTTTTCATTGCCATTATATTTTGAATTACAGATTGCAATTGGTGCCTTACAAATAGCATGTGTGATGCTTGGTAAAGACAATCTCAAACCTTGGTTTGCTGAGCTAAATGTTGACATGGATAAAGTGAGAAATATACTTGAATATATATTAAAATTAAAAAAAATATTTTTATTGTGTGGTTGTATTACAAAACTTCTGAAACTACTCATTTAAAAATTCAAATTTACAGATCCAAGAAATTGTGAGAGCTATCATTAACCTTTATGAGATGTGGAAAAGTTATGATGAAAAAAAAGAAATACAAGGGCTATTGTCCAAGATGCCCAAACCAAAGCCAGCTCCCCAGAGATAGCAAGACATATTTTGTAGTATGGATTTGTATAATGGATATATAATTTATAATTGTAGACATGAAAAATTCGTTTTTAATTCCCTAGGAAAAGAAATTACTATTTTTGATGAGGTTACTTATATTTCAAGTGATTTTTATGAATTTTTTCAACCATAAACAAATACAGTGTAGAGCACACTTTAGAGCATAAATTAAAAGAACAACAACTAAGTTATTTAATTTTCCATCACAAGCCAAAGATACTTTCTTTATTGGTTGTTATGTGATTTAAGACTATTGTATCCTATTGTAGCCTTTAGACACAAAAGTAAATTATTCCTTTATTGCAAGTTTAATGTTTAAATAATGTCATTGTATTGCTATGCTGCACAATAACATTGTTCATATAAGTAAACTGACAAAGATAAGTATGATGACAAAAGCTAAAGAAAAAAGGCAATTCTGATGAATTTAGTCTTATCTGTCTGCATGTTTTTGAGCATTGATACTTCATTCATTAACTTCACATTTTACAACATTAACAATTTTGAACATTGAAAATGAGGTGGATCCTTTAAATAGATATATATATATATATAAATCCCGTAACTCTTTTGGCAACCTTTCATTTTCCAACCTTCTGACAACCACCACTTCTAATAGACTTAGAGCAAAATGAATCATGTATATTAACGTATTAACAAATATGAAACTGACTATGTAACTCGAAATTCACCTTTTTGCAATATCCTAGAAAATACTAATATACTAATATCAATATTCTTCGCAGTACTTTTGACCACCAAACTACATTGGTGTACTTACCCCATCCGCGTATATTTAAATATATTACTAATCAACTCACTACAGATAAGTCTACCGTTTTTTTGGAAATAAATTGGAACTCTGTATATTGTTCCGTATACTTAATTCATTCCTACAAACGTCGGACTTCCTCCCATTAGCGTGTACTTCTGACATGTCAATTTACTGACAAAATATACTACCATTCACAGATCTTATGATTGTGGAAGCCATGTTCAGTCAATTATCAAAATTATAAAAATAATTTACTTAATGCCATAATTGTTCAGTAGGAGAAACAGGTACATTACTTTGAAAAATCTGCATTAAAGTTTAGCCTAAAAAATTAAATATTATAAATGGTAACTTTGCAGACACAATAAATGTGTTCTAACTTGTAGGCAGACGAGCATACGGCTCACCTGATGGTGAATGGTCACCGACGTCCATGGACTTCATCAATGCCAGGGGCAGAGCCAAGCCGCTGCCTACCGTTGAGTACTCTCCATAAGGCCCGTTTGAAGAAGGACATGTCATAGCGCTCGAAAAATACCGTGGAGGGGAGCTCATTCCAAAGCCGGATGGTACGTGGCAAAAAAGATCTCTGGAAACGCACTGTGGATGACCGCAGTGGCTCCAGGTTGTATGGATGAACTCTACTCCGATGGCGGGTGGTGCGATGGTAAAAACGAGATGATGGAATCATCTCAAATAATTCCTCAGAGCACCCCCCATGGAACATATGGTACAAAATGCAGAGAGAAGCGAAGTCCCTTCGCAGACCCAGAGGTTCCAAACGATCCGTGAGAACGAGATTATCGACAATCCGAACGGCCCTCTTCTGTATGGAGTCAAATGGAAGTAGCTGGTATTTGGGAGCGCCAGCCCAGAGGTGGGAACAGTACTGCACGCGAGGCTGGGCTTGTGCTTTATAAAGCAAAAGTCTTTGTCCAGGCGTGAAGTAACACTTCGCTCTGTTGAGGACTCCCAGCATTTTGGACGCCAACTTAGCTTTGCCCTCCAAATGATTCCGAAACTGGACATCGCTCGAAATATCGTCCCCAAGTATTCGTTAAAGGACTACTCGTGGAAGGTTTCAGGGATACTACTTGGAATTGTGGCACCATGATAAAGGGGTCCTTCTTCGCAGTGAACGCGCAAACATGTGTCTTCAACGGAGTGAATTGAACTAAGTTCGATTCACTCCACTCGGAGATTCGTCCCAGAGGGTCCTCTGAAGTAGACACAAGTTTAGATCGTCTCTCTTGCACCACGCTCCGAGACTCCGATGGCCGATATATCGCGCATCCCCCGTGTCGTCATCTGCATGGCAATGAATGCCATCAATAGATAGCATGTCATTGATATACCTACAGGATGAAAAGCGTAGGGGAGGGCACCGAAGCTTGTGGAACGCCAGCGTTAATGGTTATCGTATCGGAGCAGCCACCGAACGACCGTGATACTCCGCCCATCCAAAAAGCTAGCGATCCACTTGCAGAGACCCTCGGGGATTCCGTAAGATGGTAGCTTCGACAGAAGTGCCCTATGCTAGACCCTGTCAAAGGCCTTCGCGATATCAAGGCTCACAGAAAGAGCCTCGCCCTTGCTCTCCAAGGCTTCAGCCCACCTGTGAGTAAAGTATACAAGAAGATCACCGGTTGAGCGACAGTGACGGAAGCCGTATTGTCAGTCACTGATCAGCTGGCGCTCCTCAAGATAGGTATCTTGAGGATCGCCAGCAGGAGTTGCGAATTCATTATTGGCCCCATGATCTTGGAAAGCAAGGAAGTTATCGCGATAGGCCTATAGCTCGATGGGTCCGACTGGTCACCCTTCTTGGTGATAGGGTGGACGTGGGCGGTCTTCCATGAAGACTGAACCCTGTTAGTACTATACGAGAGGCAATACGAACGCGTTAGCGCAGGTGTCAACTCAGGGGCGCACGTTTTAAAACCACTGCAGGGATGCAGTCTGGCCCACTCGACTTGTGGACGTCCAGGGCCTGGAGCTACCGCCTGACTGCACACTGTGTAAAGCAGATCTCAGGCAAAGAGCTATCACACCAGGGGATGTTGGGTGGTGTGGCACCCCCGTCATCCATAGTGGAGTTCGAGACGAAGAGTTTGACCAGAAGGTTAGCCTTCTCTTTCGCACTATGGGCCAGACTGTCATCGGACTTACGTAGTGGTGGGAGACAAGACCTGCAGAAGTCGCCTTCTGCAGCTTTAGCCAGCGATCAGAAAGCACGGCTCCCAGAGGGGATAGCCTTTCAGTCGCTTACCAATTCTGGCAACGTGCTCCGACTTCGCCTTGGCAATAGTCCTCTTATAGGACCTAGATGCGGCGTTCAATTTCCGCCTCTCCTCCGAAATGTCGGAGTCCTGGCGTCTCCTTGCATTATTGCATGCCGCGTATGCGGACCACTTGAGGTGTGCAGCTTCTCTATTGGCTTTGTTATACTAGGGTTTGCTGCGACCCCCAACGGGCAACTCGGAAGAAGTAATGAATAATTCCATCCCCTGAAGCACCACGTCTTTAAGCCGGTTCGCACAGATGTCAGGATTATCGGAGGAAAAGCAGAGCCGCCCCTGTGGGTAGGATGCGTAAAATTCACGCATCCGTCCCAATCTGCTGACCTGTGCCGCCAAACTCTTAAAAACCCGGTCATCATTCGACGACTAGGGCGAGAGAGTGGTATCGCAGCACGGATATAGCAGTGATCAGACGATCCAAGGGGAGCGTCGACCACCACACTGTATCCAGCTGGATGAGATGTCAACAGAAGGTCCAACAAAGAAGGCTCGTGTCCCTTAATGTCTGCGACACGGATGGAATGTGTCACCAGCTGAGTGAGGTCTACGACCTCACTCAGGTAGGGCAAGGCAAAATCGTAGGCAGCCCGACCCGGGAGGTCAATGGTTCTGGACCCCAACCACCCTTGATGATGAGCGTTAAAGTCACCAAGGACCACGTACTGCTCAAGCAGCAAGACGTAACCTTTTTTATTTTCTTTTTGTGTGTTTGTGTGTGCTTAGTTATATCCGTGAGTGAACCATGCGCTGGTACTATGTTACTTATTTCTTTTGACAAAACTGAACTATTATTAAAACTGGTTAAATCGGGAGTTGCATTAAGATTTTTGCATTACATTAAGATGGTATTCATGGACTGCACTATAATGATGTAAAAAATACTGAACTTTTTTATTGCAAAAAACAGTAGGTACTCATCCCCATGGGTAGACGTAGGCGTATCACATTTTGAATTAAATAGTGTATTTAATATTTGTGAATGTCTGAAATATGTACTTATTTATATCAGAATTCAAAGTGAAATTCGCGCTGTTTTCAAAATTATTTTCGTCAGCGATTTCTGATGCCACCTTTACCTGCAGATTTAGTTATGTTAAAGACCTACTTGAGCTTAAATAATTTCTTCGTTAAGAGTCTGACAGGAGGCAGCTAGCACACTGCCATGTTAAAAAATCATATCCAAATACCTCTGTTATTATTAATAATCTTATAAATAATTATTTATTATTATTCATTACATTACTATTTATTATATATTAATTATTTATTATAATTTAGTATAATCATCAAGTCCTGGTACAGAAGTGTTGAAAAATCTGAAATTCGAACATTTCGAGCATTAATGAGNCTCATTTATTTTGCGTCGATCGGTCTGTCTCGCTCGCTCGGTTCCGTTCGTGTATTAAGCAACATTACACGACAAAGAAAGAAACATGTTGGGTGATAGTGTGATGTTTGTTTCCTTCGCGTAATGTGTGATGTTGCATTACATCGTAGAGTAATATTACCCGAGTAATATCACTCGCATTACTTACACATGTCTATTGTCGACCAATGTTGATTGTACATTGTACAGTCAACGCAATGAGACCATTTGAGTCGTCTATTATCAAAGGTGGCAAATCTGTGCATTTGGACAAAAAAATGTTATTGATATGTCAATACAGATTGATTTGAATATAATCGTCCCCTTCAAAGAATACGGTTCAAAACCTGCATTAAATAAAGTATTAACTTAACCTGTTATTTATCCAAGATATCGTTCAGAAGAGTTTTGTGACTGCCAATGGAATACAAAGTCAATAATTCGTTTTTCTGATTTACCAATAATTGTCCAAAATTTACATTGCCGGCTTTGATAATAGTCGACTCATTTATCGTCGATGATTAAGCAGATAAAGAAAGTATTATGTTGAAAAAAAGTCTAATTTTTGACTATAGTAGAATTATTTTGTCCGTGCAGTTGCACCTGCACCGGTCGTGCAAGTCACTGAGCAAGTAATCACTACGTTATAAAGTCACCGGTGACCTACACGGCAGTTAGTGTGTGTTAAAGGACAATGCCCATTTTCTATGGACGTTTGGGCCCCTAAAAAAAGTTGTCCTGTCATGATGGTTTTAACTTAATTTGATAGACAAAGAAATATCGTTTCATATTCAGAAAACGATTTTTATATTCTCAACCAGGTTTAAGAGAAATCTGTTTTTTTCTGCAGCTAAAATTAAGTTGTTAATTGTTTTCTTCGAAATCAATAATCGCTCTCATAATTATTTACAGTATTAAATAAGTTAATTGTGGTTAATGTTGCTAGAAATAAGCCCTTACGTACATTTTATTATTATTATATCCTCATAATAATAATAAAATGAAATGAAATCCGGAAGTCGGCAACGATATTGTTGTTGTTGTTTTTAAATTCACCAATAAGCAGGCAAAGAGCGTAGC